CATTGACTTTTTCGCGGTGCTAATGTATCAATACAGATTCTTACTATTTTAATTCTTAATGCCGTCGTCGGTGTATCGCAGGAAAGTAGTGCGGAGAAAGCAATTGCGGCCCTTCAAGAATACTCAGCAAATGAAGCCAAAGTCATTCGAAATGGACATGTCACTCGAGTTCGTGCGGAAGAGTTGGTTCCTGGAGATATCATCACAATCGCAGTAGGAGATAGAATTCCTGCAGACTGCAGAGTCCTCGCAATTCAGAGCAACAGTTTCTCGGTCGATCAAGCCATTCTTACAGGAGAGAGTGAGAGTGTTGGAAAAAGTACCGCGGCTGTCAAGGATTTGAAGGCCGTTAAGCAGGATCAAGTAAACATGCTTTTCTCTGGAACCACTGTTGTCACTGGGCATGCAACTGCAATTGTCGTTCTTACTGGATCTTCTACAGCTATTGGTGATATCCACGAAAGTATTACGGCACAAATTTCGGAGCCAACTCCACTCAAGCAAAAACTCAACGATTTTGGAGACACTTTGGCAAAGGTTATCTCGGTTATCTGTATTGTGGTCTGGCTTATCAATATTCCTCATTTCAGTGACCCTTCTCACGGAAGTTTTGCCAAGGGTGCGATTTACTACTTGAAGATTGCGGTATCTCTCGGTGTTGCAGCTATTCCAGAAGGTCTCGCTGTTGTCATTACAACCTGTCTGGCCCTTGGTACCCGGAAAATGGCCGCCAAGAATGCCGTTGTTAGAAGTTTGCCTTCAGTAGAAACTCTAGGTAGCTGCAGCGTGATCTGTTCGGACAAAACTGGTACCTTGACTACAAACCAAATGAGTGTCAACAAAGTTGTCTATATCAATGAAGCAGGTTCTGATCTTGAGGAATTGGAGGTTGAAGGAACTACCTTCTCTCCTAATGGTAACATTCTTTCAAATGGCACTGTGGTAACAGATGTAGCCACAAAGTCGAATACCATCTTTCAAATGGCCGAAGTAGCAGCTCTTTGTAACGAATCTGCACTTGCATTTGATTCCAAGTCTAACACTTATTCAAACGTCGGAGAACCTACTGAAGGCGCTCTACGGGTCTTGGTAGAGAAGATTGGCACCTTGGACGGAGCTCACAATCAAGCAAGAGCCAGCATTGCGGCAAGTGACTCTCTCCACCACGCAAGCTCTTGGTATGAAAAGAGAACTCCTCATCTCGCTACTTATGAATTCTCTCGCGATAGAAAGAGCATGTCTGTTCTTGTCGGAAACGGCCAGGAACAAAAATTGCTTGTCAAAGGAGCCCCGGAAAATGTTATCAATCGTTGCACTCACACTTTGATTGGATCCAATGGCAAGAGAGTCCCACTTACAGAGACACTTGAGAAGCTTTTGTTGAAAGAAGTCGTCGAATATGGTAATAGAGGTCTACGGGTTATCGCACTTGCCAGCGTGGAAGATGTTGGATCCAATCCATTATTGAAGTCGGCAACTACTACTACTGAATACACCCAACTTGAGCAGAATCTAACTCTCCTTGGTCTTGTCGGTATGCTTGATCCCCCTCGCCCAGAGGTAGCAGGATCCATCCGAAAATGTAAGGAAGCCGGAATTCGAGTCATTGTCATTACTGGTGATAACCGCAACACTGCCGAAGCAATCTGCAAACAAATTGGCGTTTTCGGAGAATTTGAGGATCTTAAGGGCAAAAGTTACACTGGCCGAGAATTTGATAATCTTAGCGAAAGCGAACAATTGGTTGCTGCTAAGACTGCCTCATTATTTTCTCGTGTTGAACCAAGCCACAAATCCAAGCTCGTAGATCTTCTACAATCAGCTGGTGAAGTGGTAGCTATGACTGGTGACGGTGTCAATGATGCACCTGCTCTCAAGAAAGCCGATATTGGTGTTGCTATGGGTTCTGGTACTGATGTCTCTAAACTTGCTTCCGATATGGTTCTTGCCGATAATAACTTTGCTACGATTGAGGTCGCCATTGAAGAAGGTCGATCTATCTACAACAACACTCAACAATTCATCCGTTATCTCATCTCCTCCAACATTGGCGAGGTCGTTTCTATCTTCTTGACAGCAGCAGTGGGTATGCCAGAGGCTTTAATTCCTGTTCAACTTTTGTGGGTCAACCTTGTTACCGATGGTCTCCCAGCTACAGCTTTATCATTCAACCCTCCTGATCATGATATCATGAAGAGACAACCAAGAAAGCGTGATGAAGCGTTGATCGGTGGCTGGCTCTTCTTCCGTTACATGGTCATTGGTGTCTATGTCGGTCTTGCTACTGTAGCTGGTTATGCATGGTGGTTCATGTACAACTCTGAAGGACCACAAATTACCTTCTGGCAATTATCTCACTTCCACAAATGTTCGGCTCAGTTCTCGGATATTGGCTGCCAAATGTTTTCAAACGATATGGCTAAATCTGCATCCACGGTCTCCCTCTCGATCCTTGTTGTCATCGAAATGTTCAACGCTGTCAACGCTCTCTCTTCTAGTGAATCTCTTCTTACCCTTCCTCTTTGGGAGAACATGATGCTAGTCTACGCGATTGCCTTATCCATGGCTTTACACTTTGCACTCCTCTATACACCTATCCTGCAAACTCTCTTCTCAATTCTCCCATTGAACTGGAACGAGTGGCAGGCGGTTCTTATTATTAGTGCTCCTGTTATGTAAGTTTTTTCCCTCTTGACATTTTATGACATCTGATTTTATCCATGTATGATCTTGGTTGCTAACGTTTTTAATTACTAGTATCATTGATGAAGGCCTTAAATTCTTAGAAAGACAATTTTTCATGCAAAAATCAGCAATTCAAGAAAGACCAAAGAAAGAATAGACTGGTCTCCGTGGATTGGCTTGAAGAACGAGCAATTGGATGGGAATCAAAACAGCTGTTTGGAATTGCTGGACAGAAAACGGTGGAGATGCAAATTATTAGATTTTGGTAAATATTAGATTAACATACATGTACGATACCACTCACACAAAGGAAGGGGTATTGAACTTGAATCAAGAATATAAAATTACACATGCATGATTACCACCTGTTTTACTTCTTGAATATCTTCGGAAAGATATCCAAATTTTACCGAGTTCATTCCTAAAGACGCCGTAGTGAAATCGTAATGCAAATGGCTACGTAGATGTGTCATTTATGCTCGTTTTGTATCTATCAAACCCTTAATGCCTTGGCTGTTCGCTAGATAGATCTAATACTACAAATCTTTCCTATCTTGCGTGCTTGCTATCTGCACACAAGAAGGCATCTTTCACTGCTTCTTGTGAGAATCCCTGAGCATTGTCTTCATACCGTCGTATGCATCGTTTTCTGTCAGGGACACGGTTTCGTATACCATCAAGATTACAACTGCGCCCTCCATCGCAATTACGGCTTCGTTATAATTCAACACCATTTAATCTTGTCTGCCCTTCAATAACCTCTTGGTAACCTTGTCCTTCTCAATGATATAAACATGAGCACCCCAACCTGACAAGGCATCTCTGTCGACTGCGTTCAAGAGTGCTTGTGATATTGTCTCGAAGAGATCTTCTGGTCCCTGCATTTGAGAATTGAGCTGTTAGCATTTTATGTGGTTTATGTGATAAAACTGCATCTATTCCCGGAAAGATAATTTGCATAGAGCCGTTCCAGAAGTCGATCCCGCAATCATTTCAAGAAAAAAAGCAACCAAGAGATTGAACTCACCAAATCTGGTTCCCACAATCCTTCACAAGTACCAAACAATTGATCACTTGCAGTTCCACTAACAATGAAATCCTTTGCGAAATCAATACAACCAATACTATCAAAACCACAAATGAATGGCTTCCCAGTCTTCTGATCCAATCCCGCAACCACAGGACTAACGAAAAACGGACCAAAGCGACGTTCATACAGCGAACTCGAGACGAGATTCGCCATGGTGGTGGGAGAGATATTGCGCTCTTCGCGGAGTCGATACATGTTTACTTTGTAGCGGAAGAGATCCGAGACGGTGGACACATCTGTGGCAAGACCGGTAAGACCGAGATAGACGGAGGGGCCGTAGGAGAAGATTTTGGGAAAGTTGTTGGAGACGGTTAGGGCTTGGAGACCGAGACGGAGATCGCAGGCTATGGCGACACAGTCTTTGCCTACCATGGCTACGCAGGCACCGCCATCTGAGGGGAATGGTTAGTATTTGCGGTTTGGGGTTGGGACATTGCAGCATAGAGTGGGCAGCATACTGATGGAGAATGGAGAGCTCTAGATGTAGGTGTTAGCTGATTATTCATAGCGTAGATAACATGTTTAAGATATGTATGGTTTAATGTAGTTAAGGCAAGCTTACCATTGTAAATGAAGTGTACGAATTCAGGGTATCAAGGACTGGGTAAATCAGAGAACGGCCCTTTTACTCTTTTTTGTAAAGAGATTCGCAGATAGAAGGTTTGGTGATTCAAGTTGAAGTGGTCTGGGGTTATAATATCGAGGTTGTAAGAGAGAGATATGGACAAGGTAGACACGGCTGGCGCGTCGATGTTGAGCTCTCAAGCTGACGCTTGGGCCAACAAGGCAACGATTATGAGATACGACAGGTACCATCAGCTATCTAGTACTTATGAAATCATTTTACACTTGTACAAAAGGAAGGAACTTTGGATTGGAATTTATATAATACTAGGTACTCTTTACTTGCAGGAGTGAATTCGAAGCAAAATATATTCTTGGACTTGTTTACTCATTTTTCATTATAGATTAACTTACTTGGTTTGACTTCCGCCGTACTCTACAAGGTTGCTTGACCACGAGCTTGTTAACACCCCGCCACAAACCTCCAACACCCTTACAAATATCACAGAACTTTATAGAAGGACCCTCCGAATACAACATAACAACTTCGACCTTGAATAATTCTATTTCTTTGAAGTCGATAGCGATCACTCCCAAAGTTTGATAGTCAAACCATTCTATAATTTATAACACCCACTGCATTAACCACCAATTCCTAGGTATGGCTTCCAACGTGGTAGTCATCGATAAGGGCTTCAATAGAGCAACCATAAAAGTCACTCCCGGAACTTTCATGAGTGAAGTTGTCTCGGAAGCCTGTAAGAAGCTTGGAAAGAAAAATACCAACTACGATCTCAAGAAAAGCAACGACAAGCCCATCGATTTATCCCAAACATATCGTCAAACTGGTCTCACCACCGGCGCAAAGCTCACCTTGGTCGAAGCTTCCAGATCACCCGCTCCAGTTTCCATTGCGCTCCAACTACCACAAGATCTCGCATCTGCGGCTCCGGGTGGGAGATTGAAAGATACTTTTCCTAGTAATACAACATTGTGGCTTGTTCTCCGCAAATTCGAGTCGAGCAACGGAGTTGCAAATTTAAATTTCACGGGAAGAGGAGTAGCGCAACTACAAAATGGCGCTTCAGGAGCTGGTCGCATGGTGTATGAGATGCCGGTGCTGAATGTGATGGGAAGAGAAATGGCTACATTTGGAGATCTACAGAAGACGCTTGCGAATTTGGGATTGAATAAGGGGACGGGATTGCTGAGACTTACATTTCGACAGACGGATCAACCCATTGAGGAGGCTATGAAGGATATTGGAGAGTACTTCAAAGAGGAAGAGCAAGAATCCGAAGTCTCTTCCGAAACGCCGCAGAAGACTGAAGCTGTAACGGATACTGCTACTCATCTCCCTCCTTCTGAATCAGAACCACAAAATGAAGACACGATTATGGAGGATTCTGACCCTTCAGATACAACTCCCTATTCAACACCCACACCCGCCGGCGCAACCACAAACACTACACCTTCCAATCCACCTCCGCCCTCCTCGACTGACCCCTCAACCTCCCCTCAAATTCTTGGCCCCGACGGCCTTCCCGTAGTTGTCTTCTCCGCTCCTAACAACTCCACTCCCCGCGCAGCCCTCGCCCCTCACAACGACGCCGATTACATTCCTACCATCCACCACGCCAAATCCGTGCTATCTCGTCTTCAAAATAGTTCTCAAAACACGAAACTTCTTTCATACGATGAGGAACTGGCGCTTGAAACATCCCGTCAAGATCGTCTATCCAAAATCAAAGAAATCCCTCTTCGTATTCGATTCCCAGATCAAATGGCTGTCAGTAAATCCATCACTAATGAGTCTCACGGAAAATGGCTTTATGAATATGTGCGCGGATTAATCGTTCATGAAAATGAACCGTTCAAATTGATCTATCAGGGCAACAAAGGAAGAGAAACAATACCCAATGAAGATAGTAAATTCTTGATCAAGCATTTGGGAATTCAAGGTCCAACGGTGATTAATTTAGCGTGGGAAGATTCGGCGAATATTGAGGGATTGAAGGGGAAACCAGTGTTGAAGGATGTCTATAGGGAGAAAGCTACAGAGCAGCCAGTACCCGTTGTGGAGAGTGTGGAGGAGAAAGAAGAGGAGAGAAAGCCCGAGGAGGTGAAGAAGGATGATGGGGGTGGAGAAAAGAAGAAGAAGGGATTGCATAATCTTATTATGAAGAATCTGAAGAAGAGGTAGATGGAGGACGGGGTGTCCGAGAATGGTTGACGGATGGATTGACTTTAGCAGTGTCTATTTAGACTCCGCCAGTTGATGCCTGAAGAGTGAGTTGTGCAATAGGTGATAATGATTTATGACAGTATTCTTAGGGCGGGTGGTTGGACTCCTTCGATCTTGAGACATTATATTTTTCTTGATCAGGCTGGTAGGAAAGGGAATCATAGCGAGAGGCGTTTTTATTACTCGTTTTCTCATTAGATCAGAGTGCAAGACATGAAAAGTCAATGGAAGTATCCACATAGCAGCTAAATATCAATGACCAGTAAAACAATTTTGGAAGGTATTTTATTTTTGCCCTGAAATCTTTATGAATGCTATTGTTACTAGCAACTTCAGATCCCAATTCCCAGAATCATAGTAACTCGTAAAATTATTCGTTGTTACAGCTCCAATTCCCATGCGCTTGACTTGTGTAAATGTGGAGATCCATCATAAACCCATATATCAATCCATTGTATTGGAGAGATGAGATGTGATTTTTCGTGGTGAGAGAATATGAGGTTGGGAATTTAGTGACCGGCTCTGCGGGACTCGGCAATGACACCTTGGAGCTCGTCGACCTTGGCCTTAGCACGTCCGAAAGTACCGAGCTGTTGTTAAGTTAGTGTTTGTTTTACGTACTAATACAACGTGGGTGATGTGAGATCAGTGGAAAACATACCCTCTTCTTTGCGAGCTTACGGGCACGCTTGTCCTTGCTGTTACGGAGCAATTCGATGACTCTGCGCTCGTATGGTGCGAGACTATTGAGAAGATAATTAGTCGATTGTTTCCTCGAGAGAAGATTGGAAGAAACATACCCAGAAACCTCCTTGACGATATCTCTGACAAACGCAGTGCGCTTGCTCAAGTGACCCTTGGTTCTGCTAACCTTGGGCTTGGAGACACGAGCCTCGGTTTTCTATATATCACAACATAAATCAGCCGGTCCATCTTCTAAAATTTTCGCAAAGAAGATCCTCCAAGAGGTGAGACGGGCGGGTTTTTGGTTCCCCGAAATGGGAAGTTTCATGAACATACGTGTCCTTTGTTGAGACCGACGGCGAGGCCGGTACGAGCTTGCTTTTCGGCGGCCATTGTAGATGTTGGCGTTGGGATTGTCGTGTTGTCGATGTTTGGTTGAGAGCGCGAGGGAGAAATTTTGATGTGATTGTGAAATTTGAAAAATCGGAAGTGTGGTCACGTGCGAAGCTAGTGGGAGTAAGCGAGTATGAAATCTTGGCGTTTTGTGTGGAGACAGCAAGTTTGGAGAGACAACCTCAATTATTTGCGTACCCGGGTAGTATAAAGTTCCTTTTTCTCCTTTATCTTTTGAAGCGTGTTCAAATTTTCAAGGAAAAAGAACCATGCTACAAGTATGGTTGATTTTTCGACTGAGTTCCTGAGCAACTCTGTATTTGAAAAGAGCATAATACAACACAGCAACAATGGTTTGTCTAGCATTCAGTAAAGCCTTCCGTAAAGCCTTCCATCATTTCTCGAAATTCTACGGTGAACGATGGCATTATGAAGTTTTCCTTAATTCCTAGCAAATTCAAAGCTTCTGTTTGAGGTTATTTTCCAACCTCTGCTTGGTAGTCAGTACTCATCCAAAGTTCTGAGAAATGGATTGGCAGGTGATTTGGTAGCATGGGGAGATGCAATATATGCTACTAGCATGCAGAACCTGCCCCTGAATTTCGATCATGCTTCCATGGCAGTGGCCCCGGAAACTTAGCGAATCTTTAGCTTTGATCAATGCATCTATCGATTCTACTGGCATCATGAGAGCAAGCTATCAGTAGTCGGCTATGCTGCTTGAAGGCTGATGGCTTCTGGAAGGAAGGCTTGTGTCAGGCAGCCCAACTTGGGGAGCAATGATGTTTCGAGAGATATTTCCTCTAAATGTGGTCCCAATATTGATGATAGAATCTGAGTGGCTGATCTACCACTTATAATGGTTACAGAACGTGAAGTAGACCCCTTTTTTGGCATGAAATCCTCTCAAAAACCTTAGATGCAAAGGTCAAATCTCCTAGGACTTTCCCTATTATTGTTACTATCTATTGTTTCAATGTCCTCATATTAAAGACTTCATTTTCATAATCGATTGCCATCCCTCTTTGTAGTCTTCCTTACAATATGGTTTTCAACGTTTTCAACGCAGGCGAAATCCACTTCGCAATTCATAAGAAAGCCTCGTTGGAGGAGTCCAATGACATGTTTATCCTCAACAGCTAGATATTCCATTTTCATTTGATACAGAATACCAAATACTCACACAGTTGACAGATCGCATCCAATACTGGTATTCAACATTTCAGGACTCAGCTTACATACGAGAGATAAGTTTTATCCTTCACCCATTAGTTTCCCAGATCGTGAATATGTAGGTTGCTGGCCTTGTAAAAGGAGCTGGTTGTTTTGGTTGAGTGCACATAAAATTCACTTTGGGCCGAATATATTTGCTTATTTCATCTCCAGTCCTGAAGCCTCCATGAATAATTCTTGAATACGATAGATTATCCAATCCCAGCTTCGAGAGCATACGCCATACTAGGAAATATGGAGAATAACGGTTCCGAAATAGACCCCGCCGTTTCCCCCGCTCCCGACTCCCGACTACTAGTCCTCCAGGGACCAGAAGGTATGATGAGTAGGCTCCATAAGGCATCATCTAATGGCGAGGCTAACTTATAAAAATATCAAGATTATTAAGAAGCTATCCTCACAACTTTCCAAATATCCATTGGGTAACATGATAAAAGGCTGCAGGGTATTTCCATAAAAGTGTTCCTATATGATGTCTATCTATATCGTCTTCCAGCCTGTATATGACGTGACCATTAATCCAAACATCAACGCCTGCCCTGGTTGATAGGGTTGAAAAAGCCATTCTGCTTACTTGAGCCCTTCGTTCCAGACCAGACCACTTACTGGTATTACTCTGTAGATTTCAAAAGACTGTTTAGTCATACAACTCATCCAACTTATATTGATCACCAAATATTCCCCGTGATACCTGATTCTAGAAACGTTGAAAGAATTCTGCTCACATAATTCGGATTTCAAGTCGGAACGAACTCCGCACTCTCACATGTCGCGTTCCGCACTCGGAGCTAAGATCTCCTTCAGGGGTCACAACCAATCAGAGGTCATGAAAAATAGCTGATCAATTATTATATCTCGGACACCGGGAACCTTTTTCTCTTTTCTAAATTATATGTATTCGAGATTTCAGCCTCTTCGGTGGCGTTCAGCCTTATCATATAATATAAACAATCGATGCAGGTGTAGTACGAGTACAAGATAAAAGACTTGGAAAAATGGTCTACGTATCTCTCTCTCCAGATGAAAACTGTACTAGTTTTCTCCCAACAAGTCGTCGTGGATAAATTCAATTGACCCCTCCAAAAATGGTATACTCCGTAAAGTCAAATATCAGCCAATTTGTCAACCCGAACACTCCAGAAGAGTCATGTCAAATGTTCTTCTAATAATCTTTTGAATACGTGGACTGTGATTAGTCAATGTGAAATTATGATTGATAAGATTGGAGAATTAAGTGGGTCGAGGTTTGCTTCGTTATCATTTCTATTTGGGAAATATTTGCACTTATTATTCTCATATTCTCACACTCTCACTGGCTATTTCCTTGAGAGAAGTGGAGCTAGAGATAGAAAATGGAATGGACAGAGGGGCATCCGATGGAAATACTAACTCGATATGGAAACTCGATGCAGAAGGCTTCAGGAAATGTTGGTGGATCGTACTGGGTGGATTTGAACTTTGAAGACGAGGAGGTCTGTGAGGAGTGAAGTGAGGAGTGTAGTGAAGTATAGTAAAGTAAAGTAAAGTAAAGTGGAGGTTACCGGTCACCTAGGTTTCAGTTCCGTACTACTAAAGGTTGAAATCTTACCACCTTCATCTTTTCAATCTTGGGAATATCATCAATAATAGTGATACCAGTAGTGTGTGAGAAAGATTCATTCACTTCTGTCTTTATCTTACTTCTCTTGTCTTCTGTAAGTTTTTCATTCTCTCTACTCTCTATTCTTTACTCTACCTCGTTATTTGCCCTCGAAATCTTTCAATTCGTTTGCTTTTCTTATTTGATATAAAAAAGATATAGTGTAAAAAGAGAATACTTACTTACTTTTGACTCTTTTCTTCAGTAGAATATCAACCAACACATACATCATAATATAACCTATTTTTCAAAATGGCATCCGCTACTCGAACCTTTGCTCGCGCAGGCGCTGCATTCAAATCCACACCTTTCAGATCCGCCACTCGTACTGCATTGAGTGCTCCTCGTCAGGCATTCCGTCAACAATCTCGTCGTGGATATGCATCTGAGGGACCTGCCAAATCTTCCTTCCCTCTCTCCATCGGTGTTGCTGCTTTGGCCGTTGCTGGAGGTGCTGGATATTACTTCATCTCCCAAGGTAATGGATCACTCTTGAGTGGTTCTGCCAAGGAAACCGCCGGTCTCTTCACACCTACATTCGACGATTACCAAAAGGTGTACAACGAAATTGCAGAGAGATTGGAAGAGAAGGATGATTATGATGATGGTTCTTACGGACCCGTCTTGGTCAGATTGGCGTGGCATTGCAGCGGAACCTTCGACAAGGAAACCGGTACTGGTGGTAGCAATGGTGCCACTATGAGATTTGCTCCAGAGGGTGATCACGGTGCCAATGCTGGTTTGGTTGCTGCTAGAGATTTCTTGGCTCCTATTAAGGGTAAGTCGACTATTTCACTTTTTTGTAAATGAAGACATGTTACTCCTCCGGTGCGGGTGAGTGGGCCGGGGAAATAGAGACCAGCTTGGAAAAGTTAGAGAAGGCTTTCTATACTGGTTTTTGTAGATCCGGGCGCTGGGAGCTATGGAATTTCGGGGCTTGTCCTTATCAACCGTGGAGCAAGTGACTTCTTACTAACATCTTCACAGAGAAGCACCCATGGATCTCCTACTCTGATCTGTGGATCTTGGCTGGTATTTGCGCCATTCAAGAAATGCAAGGTCCAGTCATTCCTTTCCGACCAGGTAGACAAGATAAGGACGCTGCTGCTTGCACACCTGATGGACGTCTCCCGGATGCGTCCCAAGGTAACAAGCACTTGAGAGCTATCTTCGGTCGTATGGGATTCAATGATCAAGAAATTGTTGCTTTGAGTGGTGCTCACGCTCTTGGACGTTGCCACACTGATCGTAGTGGATTTGAGGGTCCTTGGACTTTCTCTCCAACAGTTGTCACCAACGACTACTACAAGCTCTTGTTGAATGAGAAGTGGAACTGGAAAAAGTGGAATGGTCCTAAGCAGGTATGATTAACCCCGTCCCTTTCCATTTTTGGACGCCAAAGTAGAGTAAACTAACATATAATCTCTAAATAGTACGAAGACAAGACCACCAAGTCCCTCATGATGCTTCCTACCGACATGGCTCTCGTCTCCGATAAATCTTTCCGCTCATACGTTGAGAAGTACGCAAATGATGAATCTCTCTTCATGAAGGACTTCGCAAATGTCATCACCAAGCTCTTTGAACTCGGTGTTCCTTTTGCAGAGACTACCGAACAAGCCCCTATGAAGTTCAAGCCTACTGCCTAGATAATTCATCTCATCGCCGAATCAACTTTAATATAGAGATATGAAGAACCGGAGATAGCAATGGGTTAGATGGATCGATAGACTTTGTTTGCTTATTCCTTTTTAGAAGCGGGAGTTTGGTGAAATAAGATATCTAGATGAATGAATTGATATTCTGTCATTTGAAAGAAACGTCATCATCTTAGGCAGGCGTGGATAAGATGAAACGATATCCTATGTGCTTTGGAAGAATGGTAATGCAATGCTGCGTCTGACCAGCTTTGACTGCGTCGGGTGGCTTGATTGTTACATCCTCTCGGCGTGAGGAGATAGGAAAAGATGTTCAATAGGAGATTAGATTTGTTACATAGAGTAGAGAGTAGAGAAAAAGAACATTCCGCCCACTATTTGAGTCCATTAGGTTTTTGTAGCTTTGAAATAACTGCACATCTAATGAATTTGATGTATAATGAAAAAGGAAATTTGAAGAGAGGGAGTGATAGGCAAGTAGATATATGATGATCGCTTGCTAGCAGCTAGCTCGAAGGAGTTGAGGAAGTAAGGGGTGATGTTTGAGAGGGATGATGAGACAGGGTTTCCCGCACTGAGGGGAAGGAGGAATGAGGGGGACGTAGCCGGGTCCGCTTCAGTTCGAAGCACGATGACTTGGATTGATGGATGTAGGATTAAATTCATTGGGGATGATTGTTTAGATTGTTATTCGGCACTCTATTGGATGGGGGCGAAGGATATGTTTTTGGGGGGGGAGAGGATTGTAGGAGTGTAGGAGAGGTGATTAAGGAGGTGAGAGATAGGAGATGGGAGATGAATTTATTAGGTGTGTGGATGGATACTTTTATTACCACCTATTTTTTTACCGGATCAAGATCGGGGATTATTATTTTAAGGTTAGAGAGGTCTTGAGTTCAGCAGAAGGTTTTTTCTAATGATGGTGGGAAATTTGAATTGAATTGAATTGAATTGAATGGTTGTAACTTGTACGGGTTCTGTGAATCTCTATGGGTCTGAGGGGAGCTTGCAAATGCGTTCAAGACCATATTTTTATATTCGTACATCTGCAGGGAAAATGGATTGGAAATGTCTTGGTATTGTATTGTATTGTGATTAGTGGGTATCGAGCATCAAGTATCACGTCCTTTAATGTACACCTGCGTCCAGCAAACTCCATTCCATCCGTCCATTAGTACAAATCTTTTGAAGATCTTCAGTAAACCATGTAACAATCCAGCTCCAAACTCAGAATTCACAAATATCAAGCTCAAAAGTGATACTCTGGATACTGTACTCCCACATCCCCCGCAAAAGAAGCAGTGACAACATACTTCGTCTTCCCACCCCATCCCTGTCTATAAACCAGCGCAGAAGCCCCGGTATCCATATCCACACCCCCTTTATCCGGATCCGGAAAGCGACAAGCCGGTTCCTCAGTATCCTTTTCTCCAGCAGGTTGATGCTCAAAGTCATCTGGATAAATAAGACAGGCTGCTCGACGGGGAAACTTATCAGTGTAGCGCTCATCGAAGATTCTTAAGATCATTTTTAATTCCGGCTCGGGCTTGACGGCGAAATACTGTTCTTCCCGTGTGTCAGCGGTGGTGAAGTGAGTTCCTATCTGTGCTTGGAACGCAGGGAGGTTAGTGGTTATGAGGCCGAAGTCAGGGAAGGAGGAGAGGAAGCGGAGGAGGGAGCGTATGTTGGGGAGTTGTCTCATCAAGTGTGTATCCATTGTATACTCGATGTTGAGGATAAGATCGCGAAGTTGGGGGAGAATGAGCTCTGGGTAGTTGTGTGGCTGGAGAGTGATGAATAGTTTGGGGTCGAGGGTGAGAGGAAATGGGGTGGGGGGTTGAGAGGGGTAGTAAAAATCGTAGGGAGAAGTTAGGGTTATGGCGATAGGAGCTTGAGTGCGGAGTGCTGAGTGGTCTTGGCTGGTGGGATTGGTGACCTCTCCAGCGAAATGCTTTGGTGGTTGAAGTGTGGTGGTCTCTGCGCTGCCTTTCTCGAGAGGTTGGTAGGGAGGGAGGAGAGGGGTCATTGGTGTAGCGGTAGTGACCGCAGTGTCTGGAAGAACGAAGCGACGTGGAGGCGAAGCTCTGTAGGTTGTGTGATTAGTAAATTGGATGGATTGAAAGTTAGAAGAGATACTTGCTCATATGAAGTATGATCATATTGATGATTCTGATGAATCATTGCAGCCAGTTCAGACGCTTTCTCAGAAGGCTCCGATCTGGGGAGTTGATTGAGATGCTCGATAGATCTCTCGGGCTCATCGAGGAGACTAAGCGATTCGCTAGTCGAGGAGCTGCTGAAGCTGCCGAAGCTACTAGAGTATGGAGAAAAGTAGGGAGAAGCACTGCGAATGAAGTAGGTGGGATTGAAAGACATTGTGAAGAGAGTTGCTGTTGATAGATTGAGAATTGGTTTTGGAGAGATCGAAGAATCGGTCAAGGCAAAGAACAAGATGAGATCTTTGGTGAAGTTATACTCTATTTAAGTAGTAGAGTAGTGGTGTCCGTTCTGCGTTGCTTGAATAAGCAGAAGTGACAACAGGAGAGAACAAAACTAGAATCGAAGTGAGGAATTGAATTACTTCTCAGAAGATCTGGGTTAAATGTCGCTATGAAACTCTGACTTTATTGTCAAACCTTACCGGTTAGCTGACTCATAGAGAACTTGTCGAATTTCTATTGTCCACACATAATTTTCTGTTGAGAAAACCAACAGTGAATTTGAGATCGGTAAAATCATGAACGGACTGACATAGAAAAAGATCACAAACATGATATTCGCTTTTGAGTACCAGAAACTCAATCACAACAATAAAAACTTTTGCTAACGAGGACAATAAGCCCACCATTTCTCAATGGAGAAGAAGTAATAGCGTATAGCTCGCTGAATTGTAGTTCTCAACTGTATGTAGGGTTTGCTTGGTGATAGGATCCTGCGATCGAACTCGGGCAAGCTTATACATACATGCTGGGCTATACTGAGGCCAGCCGCTAAGTTGCTTGAGTGTATTGTGAGCCTTTGCTTTTAAGAAGATTCATTTACCTTGATATTAATATTTGACAGAACAAGGCACTATTGGTGATTGAAAAAGTGGTAGGAGGGATACTATCATCGTGAGATGACTAACATTTCAGTCGAAGATCTCAATCGTCCACACTGCATTTCGACAACCAAAACATTCAAATGGTTCCTCTAATTCAACTCATCCCATCAAATAACACTCTGCACGCAGAGATTACTCTTTCAACCGAGTGGCGGATACTATCAATGGAGGAACTTAGATGACCAAGTAAGATCATCCAATAACCTTTTGTTATGACGATTTGATAACCTCGACAGAAAGCTTTCACGGTATTGGGAAGAATTTGAAAGCCAACCTTAGAGAACCTTCGCAGTGTTGTCCACACGAATATCTCGTTGAGTTGCACGAAAAGAATCATGGGACCAGTGAGAGAGACAGATTTTAGCAGGCAAAAGACATTAGCCCTGGGTTGCCTAACATGGTCGAGACCATGTATCTCCTAGCAAGCATACAAAAGCTAATGTACATTGGACAATAGTAGCTTTCGGTCTGATATCTTGGAAATATCTGAGCGCCCTTAATAAGATGGAAGGACAAATGGATATAGCTGTGCTGGTCATATGCTGTCAAAGTCCTCGGTCGACATATGTACACGGCGAAGAACTCAAGCTAGTAGCAACAGAATGGGATTGAAAAATAAGGAACTAGGAGAAATACATATAAGAGAAATATGTATGTCAGCTTGGAGAGATAGGCACTACCAAACGTTTGGTGTAAATTATTGCTGATTTCCAACAACAGACAACTGGTGAAAATCCTTCCAATGCTAAGATTATCAAAAACTCTGCATTTCGCATATGATTTCCGGCCTGATACATTCCATATTTCAGGGTGGGAGCACAACAGTCTCTGCTGGCGCCATGTCTCCGATCAACCATGGCTCGGGTGTACATTGAAAAATCGCCACATTAGAGCCTTACTAGCTCCTCCTCTCAATGCTATTCCACTGTGATTGAGCGAGTTATGGTAGCTAGACCATTTTGGGATAAAGAATATCGACGAGAAGTCAAGTCTCTCCCGTATTATTGAAATTTTGATCGTTCAATCCTATTTTGGGTATTTGGAACTCTCATATACTTTCACTGGAGTGACGAAGGTAGAATTGTGTCATCCAAACATGAGAAAATCATTTCAATAGAGACAAACTTCTCCTTTGGAAATTGAACGCCAGAAAGAGGAAAAAAGGTAAGATCTCTCGGAAAGGATCAATAAGGAGAAGTCAAAGTAAAATGCTGGGAAAGGTCGTTGGTGGCTGCTTGAGCTAATTTGCACCACCTTCCATTTAAGATATCAAGGTCAACATCAATCACCTCCTCATTCCGACAAAAAGACAGCCGGTAGAACAAACTCTTGCTCTTGAAGATAACCAAAATGAATACCAGACTCAGTCGCTCAACAAGAATGAAGCAAGCAAGCAAGCAAGCAAGCAATGATAGCCAGCAGTACTAGAGTGGCTCTTTAGATACCGAGGCATTCATTAGACGCGGGGTTGGACATATTCACCAGCATTTTGAAGCGGTTTTACGACAACTAGAGGGTTTTTCGTTGACCACGTTTAATTTTCTTATTCAGCCAGTCGTAAGTTTGTTGATTTTGTAAGTATTGTAATGAGAGAATTAAAGTCAAAGGTCGGAGCCCGTGCCCTACTCTAACCGATTTCCCCACTATATGCACATCCCTACTACATGCACAACTTTGGAAATATTAATATTATAGCTTCAAATATTAATGATATACTTTTAAAGACTTATATAAAGCTTACATTAGATTATTTGAAAGGGGTTCAAGCTCCTAAATATATTCAGACAGCTAATTTCTTCAAAATTGATTAATCCACATTCTTCTAACAATATAAAGGTAAAACTATCTTAAAAAAATAATTTCTTTTTAATACAAAATAAATGCTTTTTAATAATTAAAAGGAGATTTTAATTAATCAAATTAATAAGCTAATACAAAAATTTATTCTTTCTATAAACTATATAATTAGAAACCTTATAAAAGAGATTTTAAATAAAGAAATAAAAAAGAATTAAATTAGCAATTTTGTTAAAAGGTATTTAATACATTTTAAAAGTTAATATCTTCATTGTATTAATAATTTACATATAAAAACTAATAATATTATTATATTTGATTACTTTTATAATCTGGTTTAAGCTATTTTCTATTATTATTAATCTTTATTATCTAAAACACTTTTACTAATATCCCTCTTTTTTTAATTTAATTAATAAAAATGATTATAAAATATAATATATAACTAAGAGATATATACAATTGAAATAAAAAGGATTTTATAATTAATATAAAAAGAACTATAAAAAGGATAATAAATACTAGTGCTTATAATAGAGATAAAATAATAAAAGCTAGATAAAATAAATTAAAAGAGTTTATTACTCTACTGATAGCTATATATACTAATGGAATAGTTTTCCCTCCCGCTTTTATTTATAAAGAAAACTTAGAGAATCTATAAAATATATGAATTTAGAATATAGAAGAAAAGAATAAAGCCTATTTTGGAATTTCAAGCAATAAATAATTATTGAATACTTTTGATTTATATTAATTTATAAATATATTCGATTCTACTATATATCAAAAAGCAAATAAAAGATATTATTTATTTATTATTAATAATCACTTTAATTATATTAATATAGAATTTCTTTTAAAATACAATAAATTAAAAATTATTATCTTAATTCTCCTCCTTCATTTTACATATTGATTACAATCTCTTGATATTAGAACCTTTAGTATTCTTTCAATAAATTACAATATATTATTGAATAATTTGATATACAATAACAGGGGAATTATTGATATAACAAAGTATATATTTTGGAATATATTTAAAAAGGTTTGGAAGCTTATTTATATAAGATATAATATTTTATAATTCTTTAAAAAAACGAGTATATATTCTATAAATAGAAGTTTTATAATTGATTATATTACTCTAGAAACTCCTTTTATACTACCTATATTATTTAAAATTTATAAAAATACTCTTACTACACTATATATATCAAAAGCGATATATAAAATGAAATTAGAATTTCATTGCATTCCCACCCATAAGATCATTTTAAAGCTTTTTAAGATTACAACTATATTAGAAACTGAAGCTTTTATATAGGAATATAAATCTAAAGATTTAGAAGAGACTCTAAAGCTTAAAAAAAGGAAAAGAGCTTATTCAAAGTATTTAAATCTTATTAAAGAAAAGGGGAATAATACATTTTTATAGTTACCCTTTATTATTATTAAAACTAAAATATATTAAGAAAATAAAGTATTTAAAAAGAAACAAGAGAAGAAAGCTAAACTTCAAATAAAAGCTGAAAAGAAAACTAAGAAGGAATAAAAAAAGATTGAAATAAAAGAAAAAGTATTGTAAAAGAAGATTGATTATTAGATTATATATAATATAAAAAAGAAGATCAAAAAGATTCTAAAATTAACGAAATCTTTAATTAAAAGAAATAAAAAGTTCCCCAAAACTTCTTTTATTATAAATCTAATATCAATAAAGATTATAGAGTTCTCTAATATTATAAAGACTAATAATTCAAAAGAAAAAGAGAAAAAGGTTATATTATAATCTAATAAAGAACAAGCATTATAAATTCCATCGAAATTCAAAATCTAAAGATTTTATTATATTTTTAGATAATATTATATCTTGTTATTTATTAATTAAATTACTAGCTTTTTATCTTATAAATTGGAATTGTTATTAATTTTTAAAGTGATTCAAAATGGGTAATCAAGATTGTGCATATAGCAGGGACGTGTACGTAGTAGGGAAATCGGTTACCTGCCTCAGGAGAATTAAAGCCAAAGGTCGAAGGCGTGCCCTGCTCTGCCTCAAGACCATACAACACACCACCAACATTCACACAAACAAACAAACATTTTCCTCATTCGAGGTCTTTTAAATCTCAATCATATCTTGAAAGATTTCATCTCTTGAATTTCCTTGGGTAAAGGTTTGATTTTATCTCAGGTTTCTTGTCACTTACAACTGTTCAATACTGTTCATAAAGCATCCAGCCAATGACATCATCCCAAGCGACAATTATATATGATGTATGGGCTTTTCATTCTATCCTTGCAGATACCGGAATTTCACAAGCTGGAGTGATTTTGATTCACGAGGGCGGCAAGTCAGTGGAAAATGATTATCATCTTTGTGTCTATCATACATCTCGGGATCTTTCAAGATGGCACACTTCCTACGAGCAATCACTACAATGTTCACTAGGTGGAAATATGATCTATAAAGGTAAAGTCTTCGGAGACGACAGGTTACCATTTGACGCGATTTGTCGGAGCGTGGAGCCAGTAGCGAAGAAACTTGGTGTACCATTGAATAGCGCTGCTGACTGGATTGAAACATGGGAGGACTATATGAGTCGTGCAAATATCGCGCACATTCTTTTCGACAGACCTGAAAAGCTCCCTATTGAGCGTGTCGGTTATATCCCTTCCTCAAAATCACGGAATGAACATCCGTCATCGTATGCTTTCGAATCTGTTGATTGGAACAACATGGCTTACAAGCCGCAAAGAAGTGCTGTACCAGACCAGAAAGATTATCATAATTATCGGAGTTCTAACATGGAACCACATCATAAGTATTACGCGCGGCAGCGATATGTATCCAGAGATTCAGAATCTTCTGACGATGATCTGGACTACCTTGAGGAAGAGGAGGAATTTCATGAATCCCGATCAGGAAGACATTCTCGCTTACCTAGAGGGTACAGACAAGACTACGAGCCAAGTGAGAAGCCTGAAAACAAGAAGTTAAAGTATGCAGGCATGATTGCTGAAACGGTGACAGCTAATGCCATTGGAGACGTGTTTGGGTTGATATTCGAGTCTGTTATTGGAGCTATCTTGTAGGGAGTCGGTAGCAAACACTTTATAATTCTAGTTTTCGGTTTATAGCATTGTATACAGTATTAAACAATTTTCTTTTTTGCTCTGATCAATATTTACATGTATCCATGGCTCGAGATCACAGCAAGAGATTTCTTCTCCGTCTTCATGCCTAATATGTACATTGAAATACTCGAGCATTCTTAACCTTTCTAACAACACTCAAGGCTTCGCACAGGACTGAAAAATACCGCTCCACAACTTCCGAATCATCTACTGCGACGAATAAAATTAGCGACACTCGCTATCAATAAGTTTGATGTCTTCACAAGGAAGCACAAACCTTTGGATTTGGGATTTCATTTTCTCCTCGATCATCTCTGGCTCTCCGAGGGCGTAGAACTTGTCTTCGTCTTCTGAGTCTACATCCGCTGGCAAGATTCCTATTCACACGTCCACCCCTGTATTTTTGTCTTTCTCCCCTCTCGTGTGTCCTTACCTCGCACCCCAATCTTCTTCTTAACCTTCCCAACATCATAGAATCACACAAACCTGGGCGCTCTATCTCACTTCTTCTCCTTCTTCTTCTAGCATCTCTTTCTTGCTGCCTCTCCCTCCTCCTCGCCCTCTCTCCACCCAGCTCTCTATCTCTATTCTCCGTGAGGATGCTTTCCACCCAAATGCCCTCTCGAGCCAAATCCAAAAATAACATCTTCGACCACTCTGCTGGCTTTCTCAATAATTCTATTTCTTCAGCACTACAATGTCGTGAAGTTATCGAAGCACATATTTGGAGGTAGAGAGGTAGGGAAGAGGCAAGAATGTTACCTTGCCAACTAGATCTACCACCAATGGGGCTAGGTAGTGAAGACCCGGATGCGGATGCGGATGCAGATGAGACGGAGGACGAGGGATTGTGTGTCGTGTGGAATAGATATGGGATCGGAAATTGATTTGAGGAGGATAACGGGGATTCTGACGTGCATGTAGGCATGGGTATAGATGAGGTTGAGGACGGATATGGAACAATGAGAACGCCTTCTTGAATAACTCCCGTCTCGCCATAAGCAACCCAAATCTCAAAGACTTGCAATATCTTTTCGCTTCCCATGTTTCTTATTCCCATGTTTTCTATAACTGTTTAACTTTCCGATATAGGGTTCCGAATATGTCTCTTTTGCACAATGAAGTGATGAGGAATAGGGTGATGAGAATAGTAGTAAATTTGTTGATGCCTTTTGGGTATAAGTACAGGCTTCTCTCTGAACCATATATAATGATTCCCAAAGCATGCAAACGAGTATCCACGAATCTCGCATTTGCTCACACGTAAGCAGTCTAAATTCGCCTCCTTTTCCAAGCTCTCCCCACAGCTTATCATCCATAATCTCATCGATCAAGCATTATGAAAACCCGAAACATCAAGATCCAGAGGCAGCCAAGTTCCCATGCGCGCGCGTGCGACATCTCACCTCATCGCATCTCGATTCTTCCCACAGCATCCGTAACAACCGAGCCCCCGAAATCACTTCAAAGTGGAGATATAGGTCTGTGAACCTGTGGAGCACTAATGATAGAGCCCGATATACCCTGAAGTATCCATCATTTAGAGTATAGTGTACCGTCTTACAGTAAGCGGGGATGTCAAAACCCCTGAGAAGTCGGAGCCCAAGAGGCCGAGAATATTCCCAGTAAGCACAACATTTTTTTCCAGCCGATGAAGTAATAGGGGTGAATGTTTCATGTTTCAAGCTGGAAATTGATGTCTGTGATTCATGTTCGATACTTTTAAAAGACCAATAGATGGAAATGTGAGGACAAGAAAGGTACGTATGCTACTCGTAAGTGGTTACTAGAACATCTGTTGAGGTGTGTGCTTATCGATGCTCGACTGTCGTCACATGATGCTTTAGCTCAATCTGGCCAAAGTTTACTAAACTAGCAGGACACGTCTGCTAGGTACGCACCTAATATAATTCTCCATCCAACACTTCCAAGCCCCGCGTCAACAAAGGTTACGATCATCATCCTTCACAGCTCCAAGCAGGCCGCGATTACAATAAGCTACAATCATTCCTTCTCTTCTGGTTTATTCTGCAGCCTGTTCCTGTATCAAGACATTTGGCGTACAGGCTTTTTGATACTTCTCTGTCTTCCTTCATGGCTGATCCATGAGAGCGGAGTTTTTAGGAATCACAATGTTGGTATTCAATAGAAAGTTGTCTCTGTTTTTGGATCAAAGTTAGAGCCAGTGGTTTGATCTTTTCGCTCCAATGTCGCCGTCGCGAAATTGGCGGACATCTACTGATGTTCCTATGGTATCCAATCATTCGGACTGGTAAATTAGGCCAAGCTTCCAGTCCAAAAGCGATACGGTATTGAAAATGAGATGTAATATCTCAACCCAATTGAATCATCCGATTGACTCCAAAAATCAAAGCTTTTTGATTGCCAGACTGCAGTCCAGTCCATTGGAAACTCAAGATACTTAAATCCATATTCAATCACTCATTAAAGCCTACCCATCCATTTGGCATTATTGTCATCTTGCGCAGTCTTCCTAGCTCATTTCCAATTTACTGCAATAAACATGTTTTCGATTTTGGCCATATTCATACTTTCTTTGCGGAATGCCTTCGGTCTTATTCACCACTGTGTCGGGAAGCTGCATCCTTCCCTTCAAGGATAATTGTGAGACGCTTTTATGCTCCTTTGATCACTACAATTGCGTCAGGCACTATCAGGTACCAAGACTGCCAGATGCACCAGAGCTGTCATGGCTATCACTGCTTTAATTCTCTTGGAACTTACTAGTCAAACATCGAGTCCACTTTGGTATCGAGTCACTACTTAGAACATTCAGTAACAACCCTATGTAATTCCTAACATTAAATATCGCTCCCTCAACCCGAATATAGTAGTATTTATTTTACTCCAAAGCCAAAATTGCTCCGGTTTCTTCAATTCGTGATGGTTGAATCCTAGCAGCAGTCTCGGCTTGCTTCATGTCCATTATTTGGATTAGGGATCATTCGATTAGAAGGAAAGAGTTTCCTGGACCGGTGATAATGAAGTCGTCTTCGTTCTTGATTTGAGGTCCTATTGGCTCATAAATTCGTCTACAAGCGGTGACTGATAGCTAGGACACATGTTTCAGTGGTTCATTTCGGCTTCCCCTTCATTGTCGTACAAAATCTTTTCAACACGTTGCACAAATACCTAGAAATGAACAAGGAACACTGCGAAGTATATGCTAGTGAATTCTTGAATCATATGGGCTTGTTAGCTTAGCTGCCGAGTCATTCATACTACTCATATCATCTAATGCCTCAATTTCTCATGCAGTCATTGCAATTAGTGATTTACACGGTTGGTACCGAGACACGGCGACTTTCCGGCCTTACATCGGTGCCAGGATGTCATAGTAATACCAGATGACCATGCGAGCCCATCTTACTGGAATGCGGGGTGCAGGTTGGATAAATATATATTATATGCCATGTGGCTTCAGCGCCTTATCCGCTTCTTTGGTTTGTGGAGTAAAGGTTCTCATAGCCTCCAGTTGTACGAGTTTGAGAATATCAGAACAAACAAAACAGCCAATCATACCATTTAATATATATATATATATGCATCGAATGTTGGTGAGATATTGAGTCGACATGTGATTCATGCTGTTCATTTACCTAAGTATTTTACTCATAGTTTTACATTAAAATATATATGAAACCGACGAAAGCCCGTCTGCGCCATTACTTGTCGTCTTGTTTACTACGGCGTGGTCTTTGGTTCCACCTACTTTAAGATGCAACCTATGTTTTGGCACCACAAATGAGCTTCTAATATGTTCGTCTGACCACCTAGACCCTTAAGATTGGAACCTCATCACACAAATATGTCATTTCTTATTTCTTACCCACAATTTTGAATATGCCGAAAGGTGATTTTGATTCCGAATAATCTGATTCGACAGTGTGTACTGCCTAGAAATTAGGAAGAAAGTGCCGTGGTTCCTGATTCACTCCGACATGGAATGTTCGCTCCGATTAAATTTGTGCTCGTATGACATTATGATAATTTCAAGAAATCATTTTAGTTTTAAGATCAAGTGAAATCCGGGGAAATTTGTGGAGATTAAGGAATCTTCTTCTCACTTGCTGGCCTCTTTATTAAGACAGAAGACTTGAGCTTTCAACCATCGACCTTCGACCTTGAACTCCCCAACACACTGACGATCAACTGTCGAGTTCAGTCTTCAATATGCTTTTCTTTCAAGCAATCTTCGTTGTCACATCTGCTGCCACAGCAACTTGCATGACAATCAAATCTCAAGATGTCCAAACCAATATTGAGAAGAGACAGAGCTGGAAATCTATTGGCTGCTACACTGACAATGTTTCTGGTCGTGGTCTGACCACCCCCGTATCAGTATCTGGAGCCATGACAAATGAAGGTTGTCAAGCCTCTTGTTCGGCAGCTGGTTTCTCATACGCTGGTACTGAGTATGGAGGAGAATGCTGTGAGTTCCTTACCTACCCTACCCTTCCTCAACCCTCCTTCGCACTTCCATTTGCTGATACATCTATGAACAGGGTGTGGCAACTCAATCATTAATGGAAATGGACCTGCCGCAGATGGTTGCAATATGGCCTGCAAGGGTAATAATGCAGAGATGTGCGGTGGACCAAATCGTTTGACTGCATTCCAGAGTGGTGGCGGGTCGAGCACAACTCCACCTAACACCTCTAATCCGAGCAAATCCGGAAAACGCGGTATCACATACGATTCCAACAATGTCCATGGCGATTCGACATATGGAAATATGCTCAAAGGATATAGTAAGATTACCTGGGGCTATGATTGGGGATTCAAGAGTAATGGTTTGGATTCAAGTATTGAATTGTAAGTCTTTTCTCTCTCGCTGTTTTTCCCTTCCTGTCTGCTTATTTACTCCTTTCTTATGAGTTGAATACTTATATATAACTGACACAATTCCCAGCGTCCCAATGCTTTGGGGCCTCCCCAAGATCATGGATCAAAACTGGGTTTCTGCCGTACAAACCGCAAAAAGCATACTTGGTTTCAACGAACCAGATCTGACTTACGAACAATCTTCCAACATGCTTCCTGAAGCCGCAGCCGCTGGATACAAATCCTACATTGAACAATTCAAAGGGCAGGTGCGCATTGGTGGGCCAGGCGTTTTGTGGAATAACTGGAATAGTGTAAGACTCTCCCACCCAATCCATTCCTCTCAATCCATTTAAACTCTCTCAACATTCAATCCTCCCACCCCCCTCACAATATCCAACTAACCCCTCCCTCCCCAGTGGTCCTCAGGCGGCTCCTACAGCTCGCGCACCTGGACGCAATATTTCCTCGGAAACTGCACCTCCTGCCACATCGACTTCGCCGCCATCCACTACTACCAAGACTGCGAGCCGAGCTCCGGACAATCGGGCACCGACTGGTTCATGGCCAACGTCACCAACGCGCACGAAACCCTCAAGCTGCCCATCTGGATCACGGAATTCCAATGCTACGGCTCGGATGCGCAGCAAGCGGCCTTTTTGAGAACCGTTCTGCCGTGGTTGGATGCCCAGGATTATGTAGAGAGATACTCGTATTTTGGCGTTTTTCCGGGCTTTTTGCTCAATGCGGCGGGGACCGCGTTGAGTTTGGCGGGGCAGGCGTATGTTAGTTAGAGATGGGGGTTGGGTTGGGTTGGATTTGTTTAGATGGATTGTGGAGGGTGGGGATGGGTTATGGGTGGTACTCTGTTTTTTGGGATGGCTTTCTTTTTCTTATTTTTTTCTGTGAGGGTGCAGGCACCGTGGGATAGAGATGGTTTATTTCTTGATGGAGGGATTGACAAATGAAGAATTTAAGACTTATATTTGAAAATGTTTGAGACTAACAGTGAATGCTTTGAATCTTCTCATATGTTACCCATTCCATTCCAAAACTGAAATGGCTTGATTGAAGTTACTTAATAAGTAGGTAGTTCCTACCTCAAATCTACAAATCCGAAAACTTCTGTGACCATCTTGAGGAAGAAAAAAATCTCATTGTATAATTTATCCAAATACTTAGGAAATGTGGAAGCATGCAAGCAGCTATGTAAAGTAGGCATAATAGTAGGATAAGAGGCTGGCGCATGACATCTTTATCATGATTACTCCATTTCCTCATCTCTCATACTTGTACAATTTCCTAACCCATCTTCGTTACAGACTCCTGGGGAACGGGAGCAAGAAATATGTCGTAAAATAATTGTAACTCCGCCTTGAATACTCTACGCCCAAAGATCTATTGGATCTCTTCGTAATGTCATTAATTCATGTAATGTTTTTACACATTTACATTTCCGCTCCTGTCTCTGACTCCTCTGCCTAGGTACTACTCTCATACCATGCCACTCTATGAAAGGAATATAAACTTAATATCCACTGTCCCAAATATCCTCTTCACTCTTGATCATTTCCACAACCGGTGTTTTGGGCATAGCTCTCTTCATCTTTTTTCTATCCTCCTTGGTCACTAATCGCGGCGTAATCGGCATCATGGGTGTAAATGGTTGATAAGGGCTATATGGTACCGTGCCTCCACTGAAAGGTGTTCTAAGACCTCCCGTTCTGAGACCTCCGGTTTTCTGTCCATTATCCCGAGGAACGCGTTCGAGAATGGTGGTTTTAGTGGGGAGGTTTGGGGAGAGCATATTTTGTTGAAATTGCTCGCGGAAGGGGAGGGAGCGGGTCGGTGCTGAGGAGGCGTTGCTAGCGGTCTGATAAGTGGAGGTAGAGCCGATAGCTGTGGATGATGAGGGGGAATCAGGAGAGGCAGAAGAACCATTCGAGGTTTGGGTTTTATGGAGGAGAGAATTTTTGGAAGGAGCGGCCCGAAGAGGTCGGGAAAACATAGTTTTGGTGCGTTCTTCTGCTGAATGAGGAGAAGCAGTATTTGGTTCGGATTTGAGGGAGATTTGGAGATTGCGGGTGTTAAGGGAAGGGAGTTTTTGTTGAGGAGATACAGGTGATATTGTGTCGAGGGTCTCTGCTATACTGCGAGTAGGTGACCCACCGTTAGATGATGTGGAGCCGTACGGGGCTTGATTTCTTGGAATTGGTGGCGGAGCTCTATGCACGTATCCTCGTGGTGTTAAAGGCTCTTCATCCGACGCGGCATGTGAGAAAGTGGTTGAGTGTGGTGTTGCAATTGGAGATGAAATTCGTAAACCCCGAATTCCCTTTCTTCGTGGAGATTTAGGTGATTTAGGTACAGATCTAGGAGAGGTAAGAGCTGAAATTATGGAGGATGCTCGAGAATGGGTCTTGGTTGATTTAGCATCGTTGATATTGATTTCCGAAGGCTTGTGTTTTCCAAGTTTCCTTGATGATTGTTGAACTTGCTGTGGTACTACCATAGATACTCCTCCAGGTACCTTAGGAGGTGGCATGTTTCTTACATCCATTCCCGCAGCCTTTGCTTCCTCTTGCTCCATCACATGGGCGTATAAATCCTCTAGATTTCGATTCATCATTTCTCGATCAGCTTCAACAATTTTATTATCAATACTAGGTTGACTCTGATGCGAATATATGCTCTGATGTATACTGTGATGTCTTTGAGTAGGGTAAACGTAGGTATTTGTGTATGATTCGTGTACTGAAGGAAAAACAAAGGCGTTTGGGTCGGGATTGATTGCTGGTGCGAAGCACTTTCTATCGGGGGATGGCCAGGAGAAGTTTCGAAGGTTTGATGGAGAAATTGGAGTTGGACCTGATGATCCAGTATAAACGCCGGCAAATGTTGAGTCGACTAATTCCACCTCCAAAGCTCTAGCCTCTAATTCAACTTGCCTTCGTAATCTTTTCCCCAGAGTAATTATGAGAATTCCCACGATACAAAGAGAGAATAGATATGCACCTATAATACCACCGATCTGAGCTGGCAAAAGTGCTTTATTTCGTGAAGCTCCGGCTGAAAGAGGTGGACCGTCTTCTGGTGGTGGTGCTGGAGACCAATCTATTCCCAATGGATTGCTTCGAGAAAGTTTTCTTGTTGATACTGGATTCGCGAATACCTTGATAGGTAAAAGAGCGAAAGCCGAGAAGATGCAAAGAAGGGACGACAATGAAGTGGATGTTGAGCAAATCAAAAGAATGGACGATGGTATATTGATACGATCTGATTCACCTCGAAGCATTTTGTGTATGTGGTGATACGATTGACCTCTTTTATAGCCTCAACATTTCCAATGGAGCATATTGTAAGCGTATCATAAACTCCCGTTGAAACAATTTTAGATATTTTGAGATAATAAGTGACATGAAGTGTTCCAGCTTTCCAATTTCAAGGGGGGATGAATTGATGTATATACGGGAGTGAAATCCTCCAAAGCCGGCAAAGCTGCATGCTGCACAGCTGCATACTATTATTATTCTGCGAGAGATGCGCACCTACATACCCACCTAGGCAATATCGAGTATAGATGTTCGAGTGTAAGGCTGTCTGGTGAATGGATTGGATGAAGGGTATCAAGTGATAGAATATTTATTTGGTCGATGTGCATTTTGTATGGTCAAGGAAGAAGAGAATGAAATGCTCTCATGGCAATATTTCATAGCGCCCGGAAGATAGATTGACCAATAGAATGATAGAATAAGGAGAATTACCAGGGATCAATAGGGAATATCAACAAATAGAGTCAATGCAGATACTTTATTGGGAGAAATATCCAGCGGTCCTCGTTTGGGCTGCAGTCAGATTTTCGTATGATCCGAGAGTGAAGGGTGATGAATGTTGTGGTTGGTTGAAGAGATGTGAAGAGAGTGAAGGGTGCAGAAAATGAGGGAAATGGGAGAAAATGTTACCGTCCTATTATGCTCGTTCTGCATTGTGATTGGACGATGGCTATGGATATTGACATTATTTTTTAAGCGCCCGGGAAAGAGGTGGGAGGTTGGGGTCTAACCTAGAGTATCTCGAGAGTCGAGAGTGTCCTGTCACTGTCAGCCTGTCATTTATCCGGAAGTGGATTACAACTACCACAACTACCGCAACTACCGAATCTTAATATTGATATCCATATCCATATCCATATCCATACTGGGGTAACCTTAAAAGAGTCAAATTTCTCTCAATGGCTCTTGTCGTAGCTTCTTCCATCACATCATATCACATCACACCAATCAATGGCCTTGATCATCCTCATCATCATACCAATTTGGACGCCAGCTACTATTTTATCAACACACGGATAACATCAGAACAACTGCACAGGCCTAGGTCCATGGTTATGTCTTGTGTGGCACAACAGTACTTTGGGGCGGATACCGACAGGAAGAAACGAAACAATCTTTCGATACAATTCTTTGTACTTGTACTCTTCTTCCATATATAGCATGGCATTGGCATGACTCAAAGGCTTCATAACCTCACTACTCAGATGGGTAGCCAGGCCAAGCCAGATTCAGCAAGCCAGACTAAAGTATTAGAGATCAACTCTCTTTTCGTGAAGAAATTTTCATTCCTGGATCTCATCATCCACACATGAAGTGTACCTACTACGTAAGGTTACTGTGCTTGATCGCGAATTGGGTCCTACTTCAGTTCACGGTCGTGGGTGGTGTTAACCTGCGACCGATGCTATTATTATAACATGTTTCTCGTACGAGACCTCAATTGACGTAAAAAAAAAAAAGCTTCCATGTCTCGTTATGTTTGTCTGTTTGCTCTTTTTCTTCAACATTGTCACAAAGTTTGTATAAGTAAAAGCTATCGTCAACTCGTCAAATCAATTATATTAAACATCTAAATATTCATCATACTTGGAAGACCATTTCAAAGTCATGTCTGGCCACAGCCCAGATCTCCTCAATATTAGCGGTCCCGTAGCTCTCTAACAGTTTCTGAATCTTGCATGCGTCGTCCAGATAGATGAATCGATTCTGATTTACCAATGCCAATAGCATAGTCGCTTGGTTGGAACAAATCATTGTGGCCCTCGCAATTTTATGCCAAGTAACATTAGAAGATCGAATATAGGCCACGAGCACTTTTGTGAGGTGATTAATACTTTTTTGCATACAGACAAGCGTATCCTTAAATTGACCAAATTTGTGAAGTTGTGCTGGCCAACTGCAAGTATGGCTTTACGTACCTGTAGCTACCTGCCTGCTCGGGTTTGACTATAAGATTGGTCGTAATGGTAATATTCATGGAATCGGATGTATTTCCGGGCATTGCCAGAAACTCTATGGCCGCTGAGGTAGCCACAGCGGGGCTTGTAAAACCATACGCGCTGACAACGGTCTTTGGCTTCGTTAAAGTAGGGTGTTGCTGAATTTTGATGGCAGAGCAGAATAGATCATTGCTGATTCGGTTATCAAAGGCAAGCGTGGCTTGAGGTTTCCGGGCTGTAGTGCTATCTGGAATTGTGCCAATACCTCCCCAGATGTTGTTTGGCGGCCGGTAAAAGCCGCCAAATATAGTCTAGTGACGGTTCCAAGATTTCCTGAGACGCCCTTCAATATTTGAAAGAAGTTTGATTTAGTTCTATTCTTGGCGTTGATTATTGTGACATTCGCAAGTACGATGTAGAAGTTTCTAGAGGTTAAACTAACCTCGACGCTTCCAATGATGCTGCACGATCTCCAGCAACAGTAAAACCATATGTGACCATCGCCTCATGTACTGATAAGCATAACACTCAAAAGATGAGGTTAGTCGACGTCAATCTTAGGGTACCGTGCGGATGGATAATAGAGTGGTTCATGAATAGTATGGAGTTGTGCTGTTTGTGGCGGTACTATTAGTATGTGAAATTACACCAGCTACCGCCACAAACAAACGACGGCTTTCTCGTGTCTTATTTTGAATCGCGAACTTAGGTATCAAAGCGAGGAAGAAAACATCCATGTACTACCACGAAGTTTGGTGTTGAAGACAATGATCGGTGAAGATCTACAGAAGATAAATTAATACACGCTCCTAATAATATCCGAAAGTGGCTAATAAATACTGACATCATGCAGATGGGGCTGAGATGTGGCGGGTATATACTCAGTAGTAGCAATGTTTTCAAGCCCATTCATCCAGAAGCAAAACCTCAGTAAAGTTTATGGTGTATTCTTCAGCTACACACCATTCACTTCAACCAGATATAGCAATCAGTTAGCTGTCGATGCTAGATCTTTCTTTTACGGCCATCGTGGGTTTTGAAAGAGCTAAGCAGTAACAGAGCTTAACAGGATTCACCTGCCAACCGAAAATTCTGGATAATTGAACGATCAATAATCGCCGACCTTAAAATGCTGGAATTGTCTCACTGGGGTTGATTAAACTTTTGATACCCTTCCTTGAAAAAGGAATCCTCCTAGAATATCACTCAAATAAGCTTAGTTGTTCAGCTGGCTAGGGCATGCAGTTGGTAGGTGAACCGTTCCATTTAATACTGTTTCCAGTGTGTAATCGTAGGCTAATAATTAGCCTACGATCTGGTCGAAACCACTGTCCCGGTATCGAATCAATAGTATCGCTTCATTGATCACAAGCTTCTTATTGTGATCTTTTATAAATTTTCCTCATCGATCGACAGATCTCACATTTTATTTGGTGTTGCGAGCAGAGTGTCGGTGTTCAATTGTGACATGTGTGCTAATCCACAAAGTTGACCCTGTTAGGGGTTCTATCGTCTGTGCTAATAAGCCTTAATATTCCAGAAGGGCGGAATATTGGTCACATCGGGAATCGACAATAAAAATTGTGATCATGAATCTGAAGTAATCAAGCAAAAGATCTACGTTCTGCCTCATATGAATTCAAGTGCGAATTTATGAGGATGGCGACAAGATATTTGTTATTGTTAGCAGATCGTGGTACAGAAGTCATCTCATCGTAGATCTGCGACATTTCGATTAAGGTTCACCTAGTAACTCTAGTCCAACTTTAATCAAACATATATACCATATCAAGAGACAAGTCAAGACCACCATGTGTCCCCTATCCCCTCGAATCTTTGGAGCAGTACATCGTGAATCCAAAATCCGCCACGTTATTAGGTCTAGACCACCTCTTCATAGAAAATTAATCTTACAGAATTTGACTCTTTTATATCTCTTCAATCTAGGGTTGAAACCTTTTGCGAATCGTAAAGATCTATCATCTACTTTTGTGTCTTTAACAATGGATGCCCATCGAAATAAAATGGAATGACAAATTATGTTCCATGATTATTAATATATCGACGTTCCTGCTCGAACCTCGAAATATTTCTCAACATATTTCCCATGTCTTCACCGATAGCATCCTTACCCGCACCGGAGGGTTATATCGTGAACTTTGACAATCCAGTAAGATATGAAAACATAACTGGATATTGGGTTTTTGGCGTCGGGATCATATTGAGCTTTTCGTTTTTGTGCATGAGGATTTATACAAAAGCGGTTGTTTCGAGGAGTTTTGCTGCTGAGGATGGTAAGTTGCTGATATCATACTGCCACATTGACGGATTTGCTAACTGATCTTCGGAATGCAGTCTGTTTGATTTTGGCCTGGGTGAGTGATTGAATTGGAGTGGATGCCATTGGATCTCATTTATTAATTGATAGAATAGCTTGCGGGACTCAGTGTACAAGCACTTTTTGTTTGTGCGCAAAACCCAAGAGCCTACTTCTAGAAAACAAAGCTGATTGATTTTGCGCAGTCATGTGGGTTCACAAAGCCATGGGAGTACACGCGTGGGAAATTCCCATCGAACGATATCACTTATACGGAAAAGTGAGTCTTTCCACCACGTACGCAGGGGCGTCGACGAAATCTCTCCATCTAACTTCTCTCTCTGTTCTAGCTGATCATGAGCTCTTCGGTCATCTATGTGGCCTGTCTCGGATTATCCAAATTTTCGCTCCTGCTCTTCTACAACCGTTTATCACCCGTTCAATGGTTTCGCAACGCCGTTTACTTCCTCATGTTTGTAGTTGTGGGCCATAGTTTCGCTCTCATCTTTGCGCTTATCTTCCTGTGCAAACCATTGGCTATGAATTGGGATTATGATATTCTAGATGGGACGTGTATTGATCGAACTGCGATATACATAGCGACGGCTGCTCTGAATGTCGCTACGGATATTGCACTCCTTGCTCTGGTCGTTCCGACGATTGTGGATTTGCAAATGCCGAGGATTCAGAAAGTGGGCTTGATTGTGATTTTTCTGGTTGGGTCGCTGTAAGTGGATATTCCTCTCTGCTTGGTTTGCAATTTATCTAGTGTCGAGGAAAGAGACCGGGTGCTGATTTTCGAGGATATAGAACGTGTGTGACGAGTATGATACGTTTGAAGATCATGTTGCCTCTTCTCGTAGCAATGGATCAGACATGGGCTGTTTCGGTTCCTTGCATATGGATGTGAGTATTTTCCTTTCGATCACCCATCACCATCACCATCACCATCACCATCACCATCCCTACCCCCCACACGGATTTGTAAAATAAAAACCCCCCAACTCAAAGTCCGAGCATACTAATCAATTCCCCACAGTATCGTAGAAGCCAACCTCGTTACCATCTGCGGCTCCTTCCCGATCATCCGACAGTTCGCCAAACACGTTGCGCCGGGCTGGATAGGCGAAACCACGTGCGATTCTCTCGAGCACTCGGGCTCTCGTCTCGTTGATCTCGAAACGATAGGGCAGAAATCGTCCAAGAAGAAGAAGTTTAGATATGGCATCGAGTCGTTGGATGATGATGTTTTCGATTTGAAGCTGGATGGGAGGTGTGTGGAACATAGGGTGGAGATCACAGCTATTGGGAGAGCCTTAACGAGAGAGAGAAGTATTGGGGATTTGGAGGATTATGGCATTGAACCGCATGCAAGATAGAGATTGGTATTTACTAATATGGCGTTTTGGGAAAGAGATAAATTATAGGAGATAGATATACATTACTGATGAATTCAATAATTGGGCTGAGTTATGGATGCACATGGATTTTGTTTACAAAATTACTATTTCACCTATTCCTGTATATGGTTACGGATATAACTCAAACAAGCGATAGAAGTAGAGAGCATAATGAATCCTCAACACAATGGCTATTCATTTGCAAAATTTACTCGAAGGGGGTACTTGGTAGTCATCTGAGATTCAAGTGAAATTTTTCTCTCGTTAACTACAGAACTTCTTTCAAAGATTCAATAAACGGGGTCCCACACGACAACTCCTCTCATCCAGTCCTATCAAATCATCCCTAACCTTTCCTTCAATCACCCCTTCTTCCGTTCAGGAAAGAAATCCTCTAAACGGATCCGACGGCCTTGACAATAAATGCACTTGCGGTTGGTGCATCATTTGAGTATGTCAAATCTAAAACATCCACATCATTAGTAAACGCATTCCCAAAACTCTTCATCCAGATCCCCGATTCTCAAATTTCAAATCTCAAATACCCCCTCCCCTTTTCGGAAGAAAAATTAAAAAAAATTCGAAAGAAAGAACTCACGTGTAGTAAATCCACCACTTCCGGTGCAGATGATATCCTGATCATGGCAAATGCTCAACACCTTACTGCTTGGGACTGTTCCCACAGTCTGGCCGTAGTTTGGGTCACCAAACACGACTACTGCGGCAATCTTGGCCGTTACAGCTGCAGAGAGTGTTTTGGCTGCCTTGTGCACGAGTTGCGCGCCTTGGGAGTAGCCGGAAAGGACGAGTTTGGCGGAGGGGCATTTGGTGGAGGCGGAGTTGATGAGGGTGGCCATGGTGCTGGAGCCGGCTGAGTCACCACCGGCGAGGTAGCTGGAGGGAGGGTTAGTTTTGGGTGGAAAGGAAAGATAGAATGGTAGTGAATGAGATTGACATACCCTAAGACACTGGCGGAATAATCAACACCTTGCACTGTAACTTTGGCAGTTGTGAGTGCAGATCTCAAGTTGGTGAAGACGTAGGGTCCGACGTCCTGGCCGACATTTCCCTCTTGAATATTGTTAGTGAGATGGTTTTGAGGAACAGCAGAAAATGCAAGGAAGAGTCGGATGACTGCAAAAAAAGAGGACCGGGGGAGAATATGATCTTGAGCATAAAATATGAGTTTTTTAATACAAACATACCTTCATTAGTACCCCTTGCGAAAATCACAATGACGGGTTTGCAGGCATCGGTAGTTAAGCCATTTTCCGTAGTTACAACGGCAGCAGCAGACTTTTTAAAAAAGTGTGCGGTCGTAGCGAGATGCTCAGTGGTTGTAACCTGGGCTGCTGCTTGAACTTCAACTGCTGCATCGACTTCCGATTCTGCAACTGGAAGAGCGAAGGCAAGAGAAGAAAAGGAAAGGAGGAGGGGGATTGAGAATCTCATTTTGAAGGTGCGGATTTTCCTGACCGGGGTCTGACTGAAGAAGTGGTATAGGAATGGAGTGAGGATGAAGTGAGAGGAGGTGGAAGGACCGAAGAGAGTACAATGAAGATGGCACTCGAGCTTACGGATTATCCATAGATCGAGGAGCAGCGAGTATTTATGTTTGTACCAAGCCTCTTTCCCATCCTAATTTCTTTGTAAACCTCGTGCTACTATCTCCTCTCTGAATGGACATCCCGAGGTCGTTGCAATACACGCTTGCATACATACACACATACATACGAACTAAGCCAACCGGAGCCACGTATCAACATAGGAAGTTCGGATACATCTCTGCACCAGCATGTAATGCCAAATTCAAAATAGCTATTTAACCAAACCCCTCTTTAAATTTCGGACTTACTCCCACTCTTCTCATATCCAGATTTTACCCACTCTCCATCTCAAGCCAAGAAGACAATCGAAGCCAAGCTCCATATAATTCATCTTTCTTTCACATCTTTGGCCAATTGATTGACATTAGCCAAATCAAGCATTGCACCCTCTTCATAAATTTGTGGGTTCCGGACCTGCGTATAGATGCAGGTGATGAGCCATTGTAGATCGGACCTGCCCGTATTGATATATAACACCGTGCCTTTGAGCAGCAGTTGTAAAGCAATGGTATTGGCATTAACACTGTTATTGGCATATAGTCACAGCCTCGGTTCTCTTGACAACAGGCGGGGAAAGAGAGGGAGGAGAAAGTTCGATAGATGTTCTATTCTTTAAACTTTCGGGCTTAGGTCTTGGCCGCAGGTTCGGAGGGTTTCGGGTGGACATCGGATCTCTGGATGAGTATATCTTCTTAGAAAGGAAAGAAGGTATGAGTTAGCGAGAACAACTCCAAGTGGATTATTGAAGTGTTTGCTTTATCATGACTTCTATTGAGACTTGTGCAAGAACTACTTTCCTTGCCGATTCCAAACAGCATTTCGTATGTTTCGATAATGCTGATGTATTGGCATTTGTTTCCGGTCTAATTTTGCTTTCAGATATTGTAATCCAGAGTCCTATGATTTTCATTCCGCTTTGTGCGTGCAGGAGAAGTACAACACTCTATGTAATATACACCCAATACTTCTGGATATCTGCAGCGCCCAAGATTATCTAGTCGACCCAGCCAATCCAATTCCAATCGTTTAGAATAACCCGTCTCCATAACCTTGAAGATTCATGTGAAACTGTCTTCCGTCCAATTCATCCACATGCCTTCCCAACGAAGACTACTGGTCCGTTTGCTGTATCATTGGCAATGAAAATGACTAAACAAACTTGTCTATTCTTGACAGAAAACGAAGCAAGATACAGAAACAAAGACAAATCATCAAGTCAGATACCCACTTAAGCACCTTGGCCCGTGGTATCTCCAAGCTCTCAACATTCAAAGCGATGCTTGTCCCGAATTTCCCTGCAGATCCCATTCTATTCAACCCAACCTCCAGCCTCCAACAAAACGGCAGATTGCGGGGGTGGAGTCCTCTACCTAGTAAGTTCTCCCACCCACTTCACTAATTTTCCGTCTTCGGGCATATACTCCGAATATAACTTACTAATCTCTGCAACCTGCCCACTCCACCTCTTCACACTGTTTTCCGTCAAAAGGATAAGGATTAACTACCGACATACATCAAATATGATACGCACTGTATGCGAATTTCTTGGGGTGCATGTCACTTATGCATGAGAGGTATATGGAGTTAGGTACTTTCCATGATAGGAAGGAGAGTATGTTATGGAGATCATTCGGTCTTTTCTCCATTGCACTTTTCGGGGGATGAAGTGTTTAAAAAAGGAAATTTAAGGTTATTGATTACATCATTTTATTATGGAAGATTTTTCCTTGCATCTTCTACCCCATAACCTCTCTTGGCATTGATCCTGTTGACTGGGCATCAATTTCTACCGAGGCATGATATGAAAATAGAGTTATGGTATATGGAGTAATGAGAAACTTTGAGACTGCATTGTACTTTGTAGCAATCTCGAGAATTCTACAATGATTCTCAATGAAAATTTGAACTCAAGTACTATTTGCAATTACCCAAGCATCCAGGCACACATGATCCGGCCTATGCCCTAATCTTTTGACCATATATTATACAAAAGTACAAACTCAGTAAACAATCACAGATTCCTACTGACACAATTCCTCATCTCGATATAACCAATGCAAAATCCCGCCTCCTTCCCTCATCTCAAAATCTTTCTCCTACCAATCGACCCAAACACCTCCCGGTAATACTCCCCTCATGACTCCCCAATGCCCTTTCGCACTTTTATCCTGCCATTCCTGCAACCTCCCTGTCTCATTCCTCCTCAATACCCCCGCAAAAGCCTCTTCTCCCTTCTCTTCTCCCAGCTTTAACTCTTCGTCTTCTATCTCCCACTTGGGCAATAAAAATGCTCTTCTCGCATTACTTCTCAAAAAATCCTTCTCAATTGGTTTTCGGAATGTGATTGATGGCACAGAAGTTCCAGGATCCCCAGAAGGTGCTTCGAAAAGAGGCTTTTTGCAAAAGATCACCATGTTAGTGAAATCTTGTCCCGTTTCCGCAATGTGTTGATCTGTTGGTGCTTCGGCTTCACGGTAAATACGACAGGTAGGGAATAGTGAGCGAATTGTACGATGAATGATGAGGAAAGGGGGAAGCAGGAAGTCTCCAGCGTAGTTCTATAGATAATTAGTATAAAAACTTGTAGAATGTCAAGAACGATAAAACGTACAATGGCGATAACACCACCTGGTTCCAAGATGTCATGAAGATCCTTCAAAAACTCATATGTAAATAGTTCAACAGGCTCAGCTCCGCCTGTAAATACATCGTGCACAATGTAGTTGAACTTCTTTCCTTGAGCTGCAAAATTTGATGCGACAGATACGGCGTCCTCAATAATAGTTTCTTGAGGCTCAGGAAGAGAGAAGTATTTCTGGGCGAAATCAACAACAACGGGATCAATCTCCACCAAAGTAGTATGAATTCCATGGGATATCAGAGCAGCTGGAGTAGTACCAATACCGAGACCACTATTTCATGTCAGTAAAATGAACAATTCGTTATAGAGAAATCCGAGAAACCCACATGACCAATGCACTAGCATCCTCGTCTTTAATTGGCTTTTCGACTTCAATCAAACGTATTGCCTCTAGCATCACAAAAATTCCATAAATAGGCTCAGCAAGTCCTTTGGCTTTTTTCCCATTGACCAACCATTCTCCTCCCAAAAGACTATGATCACAACGCATAGCACGGAATCCATTGCCCATCGTCAAACTTTCAATAACGGACACATACCCAGTCAGAGATTCTTTTCGTTCAAGGATCGACCAACCATTGGCATTCATCGTACTATTAAGTTGGTTTATCGCATATGACGTTGGAACATGTACATTGAACAATGCAGTATGGAATAGTGCTGGTAGTATCCAAAATAGAAGCTTCGAAGGAGCAAAAGCTGAATATAAAGCCTGGAGTACAATTTGCATTCCAAGACGCGTGAAAATGACGGATTGACCAATGTATTGAGAGATCTGATTTGCAGATATATATTCCACGGTTTTGAAAAATATGTATGAGAAAATACCTGGTGCTGCATCGGATATCCAAGGCCATCGACCAGATGTGAGTTCTAAATCGTCCAGTGTAGTAGCCGTACACGAGACGGAAAGGATGAGCAGAGGTAAGAATGTGAGTCCTTCCGTAATAGGAGGCCCAAGATTAGCTCCCATATAACCACTCAACTTGAAGAGGAAATACTGGATCACTGGAATGTAAGCCGCAATAATTGGAAGAAGTTGGACTGGTCTCCTGATTGGAAGATAACGCCTAATGAACAGATTTGACGACCAGCCTAAGAAGCAAGCCGTCATGACTCCTTTCGAATGCCATATTCCAGCTGGATATGATCCATAGACTGGGGAGAGAGTAAGTTGAGAGACATTTGAATATATGGCGGCGAGCGAAAGGAGGGTAGCTGATTGAGCTAAGACCCAAAGTTGAGATAAGATAAATCTGGTTGTGGTCTCTTCTTGAGCTTTCGATGCTAAGGCTTTGAGCTCTTTCTCAAAATTATCTTGAGTAAATGATTGTAATTGTTCATCATTTATACTTGTTGGTTTCGGTGATTTGGAAGGTTTTGGGGATGATTTTGGTGCCATGATATCTATGGTTTGAGGTAGTCCAGAGAAGAGGGGTGAGGTGAGGTGAAGTATCCAAACTCCCACCAGTAATCTTATCGAGCAAAAACAAAAGCAACAAATTAAATCCTCAGCATTACTTCCACAAAAGAGAAGGATTCGACTTTATATTTGAATGAACTGATATCTGAATACGTTGCGACAATCGTTTTGTTTGAGGCCAATGCGTGGGTTCTGAAACGCGAAAGAACCACAAAACACGTGATGTTTTAAAATGAAAGAAGAGGAACAAGTCCTCGCTCGGAGTTTGATGGTTTTGTTCCGTAAGAGAGTTTAGGATGAATTGGGTTAAATTGGAGTTTTGACCATGGGATGAACTAGTGGGTTGAGATTAAGGACTTGGACGTGTACTTATTTATCATTACCTCGTGATTCATACATTCAATTCAGTGGGGGATAACTTTCAAAGCAATGGCTCGTTGTTGGTTTGCAAAGTAAATAAATAAATAGGTATATAATAAATAATGATACTACATTTTTAGGATAACGAAAAAGTTATACAGGATGCCATCGTTGCCCTGCGGAAGAGGGCCCAACATGAAAACCCTCGACCCCTATTGGGATGAAATATAATCATACAGGATGCCATCGTTGCCCTGCTGCCGAAGACTCAACATTAACATCATCGACACCCCTCGCAACTCCATCGACAACATAACTCAGATCTTAATGCCCTCCAAGATAGGCTTAGCCTCCTCACTCTTCCACCAACTAACTCCATCCTTTCCTGGGTACTCAAATTGATCCATGCTTGCTGCCTTCATTTCAACACTGTAGCCTGGCTCCAATGGAGTCTGGTAGTAACCACCCTTGATGACAGATGGGTGCTCGAAGTGCTCATGGAGATGGTCAACATATTCGAGAACGCTCAACTTTCCACTGACTACGACGTAATCAATGGTACTCAAATGTTGAGTATATTCTGGAAGTCCGACACCACCACTGTGTGGAACAATAGGTACACCGAACTTCTTGGCCATGAGGAGGACAGCCAAGACCTCATTGACACCTCCCATTCGGCAGGCATCAATTTGGCAGACATCGATGGCTCCGCTTGCCAAAAGTTGTTTGAAGATAACTCTGTTTTGGCACATCTCACCAGTTGCAACACCGATTCCATATGGTTTGAGAGCTTCACGAATAGCCTTGTGGCCGAGAATATCATCAGGAGAAGTGGGCTCCTCGATAAACCATGGCTTGAACTCTTTGAGTTGTTGCATATATTCGATAGCTTCAGGGACAGACCAAACCTATATGACTGTTAGTTTGGAAATGAATTATCACTATTCTGATGTAACATACCTGGTTTGCATCAACCATAAGAATATTGCCCTTGTCGTAGCCAATAACCTCCCTAGCAATTGACAAACGTTCTCGGTCATCCGCAACAGATGTTCCAACCTTAAGTTTGAAATGTCTGTATCCCTTGGCCAAAGTTTCCTCCAAGAGCCCCTTCATCTTATCTTTGCCGTAACCCAACCATCCGGCACTTGTGGTATAAGCAGGAACAGCCTTGTTGTTCAAGGCATCTTCAATTCTCTTTGCCTTTCCTCCCTCTTCAGCCTTCAACATGGCAATGGCCTCTTCAGGTGTAATAGCATCAGTGATATAACGGAAATCGATACAGCTGACGAATTCCTCAGGGCTCATGTCTGCAACAATTCTCCAGACAGGCTTGTTGAGTGTCTTTGCCCACAAATCCCAGATAGCATTGACGACGGCTCCAAGGGCAAGATGAATAACACCCTTTTCTGGACCAATCCATCTAAGTTGTGAGTCGGAAACGAGATATCTCCAGGTTTGACCCCAGTTCGCGACGAGGGAAGAAAGGGTACGTCCCTTGAGACGATCGGCGACATGGTCGATTGCAGCACATACGATATCGTTTCCACGACCAATTGTGAAAGTCTGCGAGAGGGAGTATAGGTTAGCAGGTTATAATTAGAGTCACTGAAAGTAGATAAAACATTGTAATCATCTTACCATGCCATGACCGGAAAACTCAGAATCGGTCTTGAGAATACAGTATGCAGAACTGTAATCTCCAGCAGCGTTCATAGCATCTGAACCTGTCTTGTCGAGAGAAGTGGGAAATCGAACATCGCGAGTATCCCAACCTGTGATTGTAACTTCAGCCATGATGATTGATGTGAGGAGAAATTGTAAGTAATAGAGGTAAATGAAGAAATATGAGAATGAATGATTGAAGAGGAATAGGAATAGAGAATTGTAGAGGAGTGATTGACCTACAGATTGGGAAAGAAGCAGACAAATATATACCAATTCAACGAGCCATTGAAACGTTTGGGAAGAAGTTAAAAAGGCATAATCATTGGCTCAACAGTGGGGCAATTGGACGGAAGTCGAAAGTTCGACGATGATTTCTGTGTTGTTTGCCTGTTTGGTCAATGACATTCAAGGATTTGTATTGGTGGAAGAATAGGGTTTCCTGTCAACCCCGCGCTATTTTTTTTTGATCATTTACCTCACAGGCTCACAGGCTCACAGGCTCACACGGTCCTTTTCCAATCCTCACTTTCCCCCAATTCACTCCAATCACACCTCACCGACCCCTCGTAACCCCCTCGTAACCCCCTGATTCGGAACCCCCACATTGTTCGAGATTTTGGTGGGAGAAAGAAAATCCGGGTGAGACTAAACTTCTTATATCCCAGCTAGTCGCCGGTAGGTATTCATGGGATTCATGGAATTCATGCAAATACTTACACTTGGAATCAATCCTAAATTGTCCCATCAACCCATCATACGCCAGCAAGGTTGCAAGATTAATACTGTGTGCTTTTACTCTCTCTTCCACTTCTTGAAGAACTTTATACTCGACGAAAGACTTGGTATAACCTCGTCTTCTTCGCATTCAATTTCCACATCATGGCTTAACTATCGTTTCGAAGGCCTTTGTGGAAAAGTTACACTACACATTGTTTATTATTTGATCAAAGCGGAGCGAAGGACACCTCTCGTGACACTTCATGCATTGAAATGTCAATAACTGGATTTGACCCCACCTATGGACCGAGTTAATGAGGTTGCTCGACAGTGGCATTGAGACTTCAAATAGACACAATGCTCCACTTCGTCAACTGAGAGCATAATCATTCATAAGGGAGGAACATTTGGCGACAGTAACATACTCAACCATCTGTATTTCTTCTTCTCATGAATTTCTTGATGGAAAAGACACAAGGGTATTTTGATCACTTACTAAGTCTTCTCGAATACCCGTTGCGCAGACCCTTTCAGGTTTCATGCTAATATACCCGGAGACTTGAGATCGACAAATTTAAGCCTTTCAGGGCCCATACACGTTCTTTCAGCCGGAGTTATCAGTGCAACTCTCTTACTATACGTGCTGGGCCATCTGGCAACCATTGCTAGAATCGATACCGTATTTGGATCGGTTTGTACCTTCGTTATATATGGACCGAGAACAATTTTATTCATTCTTCTGGATTGATTTTCTAGAATGGGAAACTGTGCAGACGTCAGTAAGTAAACGTATGCAATGCAGAATACAAAGAAAGAGGGTTGAAAAGATCAAGAATCAACAAACACCTATTTATTGTTTCCTTTACGGGGAATCAAGGCAAGATATGAATGCTTTTTTACCTAGTGGTACCAGCAAATGAGCTACTCGGCTTCTCAAGAAGATTGCCTGGAATTTAGAGGAGTTTTTGGACCCGAACATTTTCAATGCATGTACACATTACATTGCACTGTATGTTTCACATTTGCTGTGTCGTTTTCCCTATTAAACTACCAATTGGCGGCATACAGATGCTATACTCGATTCCTTGTTGTTGATCTTGTGGGAAATACAGAAAATGAACGGCCCGTTCAGGTAGAATTTCAAAGCAATCAAGCTCATGCAAAGTTTTAACAAGATAGGCTCCTGCCTTTAACTCAGGATACGATTAGAAAGTCCTCTTAGAAATTGATTGGGAATTCAGAGTGCAAGATCTTGAAATAAAACAATCAACGATATGGATGTTTAGACAAGGATGCAAATCCTACCAACATGCTTTATGTTGGTCTGATGCATTAGATGCATGGGCAGCACACATTACTCTCCTATCAAAAGACAAAAAGAAGCAGCCCAAAGATTTTTCCTGGCGACGGTACTTTATTCCCAAACAGATAGAACAAGCCATATGAAGCGTGGCTGAGTAGACGGTTATTTTCTATGAGAGAATCCGAAAAGCTCTCCGTTGTCTACCGCTCCTTAATCACTGTACGAATAGATACTGCTGGAAAAGTCCTATAGCCATACATTGAGTATCAATAATGAATTCCCAAGCCCTCAATTCGTTGACTACCAAAGTAAAGAATTTGCAATTACTTCCAGATGTTCACTAATGCTCTGTAGGGATCGAAGTTTTTCTACTCAAACGGAACCCAATTGTTTCTTCGAGGAGTTACCTATGGGTCGGAATCTCTAGATATATTGGCTGACAGAGAAGCATGCGAGCGTGATATCAAGGCATTAGTATCTCTGGGGATCAACGTACTACATGCTTATGGGATTGACCCAAGTCAAGATCATGGGGAATGCATGGAAAAATTCATGGAAAACGGTATTTATTTACTAATCGACCTATACATCGCGTCTACTTATATCTACACCGATTCTACTACATGGACAAATCAAAAGTTCTCCGTCTATACGGATATCGTGGATGCATTTGCTTTCTACACGAACACACTCGGATTCTATCTAGTCGACAATCCCATTACAGACAGTTCCACCTCTTTAGCACCACTCTCTAAAGCAGCTGTAAGAGATGTAAAAGGTTACATCAAAGCAAGAGGTTATCGTTCTATACCCATTGGAGGATACGTTCTGACTGACAGCGAATACGCACGAGAGACCTATCAGCTGGCTGCAGATTACATGGCCTGTGGAAATTCCAGCATTGATTTTTGGGCGTTGACAGATTATTCATGGTGGGACAACTCCACGTTCACCTCTTCAAATTACTCTCGCCTCACCGAAAGCTTTTCCGACTATCCATTACCAAAATTCCTCGCAGACTATGCATGTGAGGTCACCACGGAAGATTACAGTGATGTTGCCGACCGGATCTTTGATGAAGTTGGCACCATATATGGCCCGGAAATGTCGGATATTTGGTCAGGCGGAATTGTGTATGAGTGGGCGAGGTCCAGCGATTCAGATCCCAATGACTATGGTAAGTAAATCTCTTTGGAAAGATGTACTGGATTTTTTACAGTGTCTTGACAGCTCTGGTAAATTTAACCGACTACACGATCCAGCTCAATCGAAATTACAAATCGCTCTCAACACAACTTGCTGCGATAAATCCTTCTATAACTCAAATGTCAGCTTATATACCAACTGTTACAACAGCGCCATCATGCCCGGATGAGAACGCAACTTGAGGTATACGCACCCATCCAACATCTGTTGCATTCTGCTAATATCAACAGCCGCTTCGACAATACTTCCTCCAACAGCAAATACCCTAGTATGCGATTGCATGATAGCTTCTTTACATTGTAAAATTGACCCATCAACATCAGTCAACACAATCGCATCAGTTCAAGCAACTCTATGTACATCAAACTCCACCATTTGTGACGGATTTACATCGAACGTCACTTCTTCAACCTATGGCGCATTTAGCGTTTGTTCTCCTTGGCAACAGGTTTCCTGGGCTATCAATCAATACTATCTGAATACAGGTGGTTGCTCACAAAAAACAACGACGGCAAGTCTGCAAGCCCTCAAAGCTCTAAATTCTAGCTGCATCAATCTTCTAGCAAAAGCCGGTCTGTTGGGCAAAACACCAATTTATTCAGATATAACAATTGCAAATTCTACCTCAGACTCAAATATCACATCCGTATATTCCGACACCTCAACTGATAGCTCCAGATCCTTATCTGGCGACACCATCGCAGGAATAGTAGTCGGAAACCTTCTAGCAGTCATCGCAGCCGGTTCTCTCATCTTCTTCTATCTACGTAAAAGAAAATCGCGAAAATCTCACACAGCCCAAGAACTAGAAGCTTCCACTCCCGGTCAACACGGTACACAAGCTGAACTTGGGAATGACGGACAGAAAGCGGAGTTATGGGCGAACGATACATCTACCAATACAGGAACAACTAGTCCGAAGGATTTGGCCCATGAAGGCGATGCGATGTTACCGAGAAATCAAAATGAGAGTCGGGAAATCTGTGAAATGCCTTGAATTGTGCTTTAGGGGTTTTGGGGGCTAAGGGTGTCCGGACTGTGTAGGTTAGGAATGAGGTGATAGGATTACCAGGACTGGTGTTAGGAGGGATTAATATAATGGTTTGGGAGGGGGAGGAAGAATGTCTGTCTATCCGGAAAAGGAAAGAGAGCATTGATATCACGCGCACAAGAATGGCTACTCGCCAAGAAACTTTTGCATAGATACCCAGAGTTACGAGAGAGAAATGAGGAGTACAGTTTATGAAGACATTCTATATTAAAGTTAATAATCAGTTTCTCAATCTAATGCTTAAGAGTTCATATCAATAAAACCACGTTCGGCTTGTGAGTGATCGCTCACAGATTAGATGGAAGGTGAACAGACGACTACAAATCTATCCCTCTGCAATCGAGTTTCGTCCGTTCACTTGTTCGAACTATGAACTTGGACTCAATTATGTGAAAAATGTGAATTTACAATTTACATAGTTATATTTTGACAGATACTCCAACCTACGTATGTAAATCGAAAGAACACATACCAAGTCCTCGCTTTGAATTAAAGAACAATAGTCGAATGTGTAGCAAGGAGTTCCTCCATGTCAGAGAACCAAGGAAAGTAAATTCATTCAGGGTATCAATATTTTGCCAGCCAGTACACCTACACGCGCTTTCAATTCCCAAAACACCGTGTTACACCAGTAATCATCAAGCAGTATGCCATGCCATCATCTGATCAAGACATCCACTGTATCCATATCATCGAAACCCGCCTCTTCCACTGTAGAATCAATTTCCAAATGATCCCCATCGAAGCTTAGAACAATTTTCTTATCCGCGGGTATCTTATTCGTACTTCTGAATCCATCTACCAATTTCTTGATCGTCGTTGTGGGCTTCACATAAGTTTTAAATTCCTTGATATCCTTCGATTGAGCTTTCAGTATCAATCTCATCTTGTTGACTGGCTCGGGTACGACTTCAACAGGTTCTTCTTCATCATCGCTGATTTCTTCGGCTTCGGCTGCCTTGCAGCATTCGTCCCAGAGATCGTTTGTCCATGCCTCCATATGTATTCTACCACTATTGAAACCCTCACCTGTGGTATCGACATCGCCATTCGTGTTAAAGTCGAGGCCAAGGGATGCGCATGTCATGGAATCGAACAATCTTTTGTTTCTCCAGGTGAGTAAAATCGAATCTTTCAATTCTTCATTCATGTGTATTCCGTCTATTTCCTGTTTCCCACACCAAGCCTGTCGAACTTCTCGAAGACGCTGATGAAGTTTCCGCCTGATGATTAAATTCTTGGTGTTTTCCAGTCGAGACGATATAAAAATTTCTAATGTAGGTTCAGTTTTCTTATTATCTTGGAAAACATCGTCATCGACTGCATTTCTGTCCGGTTCATGATTTTTATTTGCCCATTCGACATTACTCCTATGTTGGGCTAGATCCGCAAGTCTCTTGTTTTCTCGTGCCTTTGCCAATAATTCCGGAAATTCCTCTTCGGAAAATGCATCATCGTCGTCGTCATCAACGATAGGAATTGGTTCGGCCGATGTTATAATGGGAGAGGAACTTCTATCCATTCGCTGCGTAACAGGCGCGGCATCGTCGCTGTCGCTATCGCTCACAGATATATAGCCCTTTGCAATAACTTTCTGTTCTCCGCTCTCCATATTTCTGCTATGTATATCTTTTGCAAAACGACCCATCAAACCCCCCGGCGAACGACGCTTTTTCTGCGGGGATCTTGTTTGCGACTTGCGACTATCAGGTGTCGATATGGACGATTCCCTAAGCCCATCAGCATATATACAACACCATATTCTGCAAATCCATAAAATAAATACCTAGCCGGTTCCTCATCTTCCGTCTCACTACCCAAATCCACCTTCCCACGCACATCCTCATTCGAAAACTTCCTTCTCTTTTCCACTCTCGGACTTGAAGATGATTTCTCCCTGCTCTGCGATGTCCGCTTTCTCTCTAAGCTCGCGACCTTCTTTTCCCTCTTAATCTCCCTCTCCCTAGCATGTAGTGGAAACAGATCTTTTGCGCGACTAAAAGCATCTGTATGGTCCATCCCGGGTTTAAGCTCTGGAGCTTGCGCTGGGGTCAACTTCTTCTTAAAAAGAGAGAACTTTTTCTTGGCTGGAGGCGCCGATGCACCAGTATCGAGGTCTGCCATATTTAGTTGTTATTTGTGCGTTTTTTTGTGATTATCCTGATTGAGTGCATATGAAATTGAGGTCGAGATGTAAATACGGGGAAATTTGGAGGGTTGCCGTTGCGAGGCTGCATGCGCTAAAAGTACCGGTAGCGATACCGATGCTTCATTTACTGCCATTGTTTGTGATATTCAAAATTGTCTCCATCAACGATAAGATTCTATCAAAGTCATATTGGTATTTCGAAGAACGATATGGAGAACGGCGCATTACAACAAGGCGAAGGCAAGGATCCTTCTTCCTTCCTGTCAGAAATCATTGGCTCAAAAGTCATTGTAAAGCTCAATAATTCTCTCGTCTTTAAAGGTTAGCTAGCTACCCATACCTCTGGTCCCTGTCTAAAACTTACATTTTTACAGGAGAATTACAGTCCGTCGATGGATATATGAATATCGCGTTAGAGAAATGCGAGGAATGGGTTCATGGAAAGAAGAAGACAGTTCATGGTGATGCTTTCGTGCGGGGCAACAATGGTGAGGATTCTTCCAGAACATCATTCAATATAAGCAGCTAATTCTGTGTGTCTCTTAGTCATGTACATATCGGCCGATGAATCTGCTTGATTGGCACAATAGTGGAAAAGCATTGGGTGGGAGTTATGGAGTGCTATACAGGAAGGATCCTTTTACGAAATTCATGATATCCAAAAGACGACGATGGGATGCGACGAGGTAGCAGAAACTGGTGGGATTATGAGCACAGCCTTATAAGTAGGTGTGCCGATACTTGAAATTCGCGGAAACAACAATGGAGCAGCTTCTAAAGCTATCTAAGGCCATCTATCTACACTAGACATTCAAACCCTTGAGGTCCAGAAGAAATAAGTCTTACCATGCAACGCAACCTCACCATTCTCATTACGCTCAGCATCCATTCCCTTTAACGATCCGAGAACCTTCTGCTTCACTTGTTCTTTCTTTTCAGACTCCATCACCGCTATAGCACTCAAAGTCCCGAACCTATTCCAAATAGCCTCATCACTCAACCAAACCGTCCACTCAATATGATCTTCTCCAAGCGGTAGTGAGAACTGCGGTAAATCCTGCGTGAAAGTATCTTTCAAGGTTTGCAATGGCGTGGAATCTAATTGATCCTCAAATACTTGTTTCCATTTCCCGTGACGGAAACGTGGAACCTCATCTTCGCTGCTTTCAACAATGTCTTTTAGAACCTGTTCCCATTGTGTGGTTATTGTTCGACCGTCTCTTGGTGAGTTATCTGCATATTTTGTGATTAGTAGTAAGCGGAAAGACATAAAGTTACAACATACAATCTTCTATGTTCCACTACAACAGACCTGTTAGCATCTCAGTCTACGCCTTCATGCATCAAGACTTCTTACGATCATTCCAAATACTCCTCCAGGTCTCAAAGCTCTATGAATCTCCTTCAGAGACTCCTTTGTAGCAAACCTTAAGAGGCAAATCAGTACGAAATTTCGCTTTCTCACGACTTCATCGCCTATCACTCACCAATGCCAGGACTACCAGAAACCTGAGTTAGCAAACGTTCTCCCATTTCACCCGTATTCCTAACCCATGAAGCAACTCACCTGCGAAGCAATAACCGCATCAGCCCAACCCTCCTCAATCTCCATGTTCTGTGCACTCCCCCCAACAATCTCCACACTCCCTTTCCACGCCCCCTCATTCCCCTTGCCAAACTTCCCCCTCAAAACCTCCTTCATCTCATCATGCGGCTCCACACACTTAATTGCAAACCCTTCCTTCCTCTCCGCCAACAGAGTAGTAAATTTTCCCGTCCCAGCTCCTACATCTACAATTCTAGCTCCTTCCACATCTTCCACTCCCAGATTCTTTAGGAGTTTAGAGACTGCTTCAGGTGGGTAGCTTGGACGATGTTTGTCATAGTCCGAGGCATTGGAAAAGCCGTTTAGGGCTTCGGGAGCTAGGGTTGACATTATGGAGAGATCTACTTGAAATTTGATATTAAATTGATGGCTGTAGATGTTGTGTAAGACTCAAGGGATTTAAATGTAATTATGTATTTTGGTTAGGGGTTGAATGACACTACGTCAGCGATATGCCAGGGGAGCGGACCGGCACCGTAAATCGCAACCGCATTTGCAAAACTGGTGGGGAAGATATGATCGAGATTCTGAAGCATTATGGATGTTGTGCAAGAAAAACCATGTATTATTTTATATCCAAAGTTTATAGAGAAAAAAGAATTAAGAATTGCTATCCCCTGAAATATTCCACTGCTTTCAAAAGACTGTGTATGTACCATATCAAAATTACTACAATAGCCGCCAACGATTGATGTCTTCTACGACTAGTCAAACTAGCATCATATCTCGAACCCCACGGCACTACATCCCTCACTACCTATTCGGTTCAAATCTAACCGTTCTTGCCTCGAGAACTCAGTGATGTTTCTAGTACGGAATTCCGTTAGTCAGAAGTTGGAACTGATCATAGACTCCAGTCGAATAACTTCCATAACTCCTCTTTACCAAACCTCTCATGAATACCGCAGCCTCAGCCTCCGTCTTTTCCAACACAAATCTATCCCTGAAATGTTGAATAGACTCAGGCTTGAAGCAGGGGAGACCAGAGTCCATCATAAGCATAACGAGTTGCGACAGCTTCTCTGTATAAGGTCGAGAGGCCAAGTAAGCCTTTACGCATAATTCCTCGAACCATTTAAAGGCCTGATGTTCAGTGCTTCCTCCCATCACGGCTACCATCTCCGTTGTGAGCTTGAATGGCGCTCTTTCAAATTTGACACCTCCAGGGGCAATGTCAAAGCAAAAGCCAAAATCAATGTGTAGAATGTGACCAGCGTCGTCAATCATAATGTTACCATTGTGTCGATCCTTGAATTGCAACAAGAAAGAGATGACCGAGTAAGCTGCCATACTTTTGACAAAGTTGGCGCGCGCTTCTTGAAACCTAAGAGAGTCCTCGTTTCCATATTTCGATATGAAATAATCATATAGACCATTCACGGCTTCTCTTCCTAGAATATCACGCGAGATCGAGTTTGGCAAAACATCAATAACACCACAACCAGGTGCTGTTGCAGTAACACGATACGGGAAAACGTAAACATCGAGGCCGACGTTGTTGAAGATTCCACGGAACGCAGCGATCATTTGAAGAGCGAGAACGTCTTGACGACAATCATCACCAACTTTGAAAATTGCTGATTGCCAAATCTCAATCGAATTATCCGTTGGGGTGTCTCCGCTTTTATTGGTTTCTTCGAGCAAATCATCTGTGCCTTCCATGTCTGCACCTATAGTTTTCTTGATGCGGAACGTTGCCATATATGGTGCTTTTGCATGACTTTGCAGGGGCTTTCCAGATTGTCGATCGATGCCAATTACCACACCATCAGGGTTACTAGGGAGATATACTCCAATCTCCACCTTGATCTTGCGCAACTCTTCTTCAATTTTCTGCTTCTTCTCTGGCTTGGGTCTTTTGATGTATGGCTTAAGCTTGCCTGAAATACTAGTAACTTCGTCAAAAAACGTGAACTCACGCTCATAGAAGGCTTTGTCAACACCCGAGAAAGATTCTATCATGCGATTTGTGACTTTGTCGAGTGTGGGTTTGACAACATCAGGCTGGACTTGTTAGTTTAACACTTTGAAAATATGCGCGCCACTTACAATTTGTGAATCTTCATCTTTGAAAGCATTGGCTTTCATGTTCCAGATAATTTGATGCGCGAAAAGTTGTGAGAACTTTGCAGTTTCGACAATATATCGCTCAACATATCCAAGGTCATCATAGCGCAAGGTTTGGACTATCTGTGGCACGTAAAAGAATGTGACATCAACAGAATGACTCTCCAGGGCCCGCATAGCATACTGAACGATGAAGGGATGATTTCGGTATGACGGTAAGAAATATGTAACGGCAGATATCGGGTTAACAGGAGCCCAATATAAAAGGTACTAATTTTGTCAGCCTGTTAATAAGCAGTTCTTTCAAATCACGTACCTTCATTTGGAATGCAACATCAGATGGCAAAGTATCGCCAAGTAATATATGGACTGCTTCAGGCTCCGATATTGCTTTGTCGGGAAATTGAAGCAAAAGCAAGCGAACGTCCTGATGCAACCTCGCCGAGGGAAATCTAGAAACAAGTTGAATCGCCAAAGATGGGCTTTCGTTCCAGGCAGTTTTCACCAGAGGAAGTAGCGCTGCATCGTTAGGAATTTTAACAGGGGCGGGAACCTGGATATCACGACCTTGACGTAGAGGATCAAGCCAAACATTTAGTCTTATCTGCTCACTCTCTATTAATATATGGAGAAGCTCTTCCTTTGCATGCATCAATTGGAGCATGGCTGTGGGCTTGGAGCCTGTCATGGTTACGCTTCTAAAAGCTAGAACGACATCATTCAACAAGCGAGTTTCGGCTTTCAATTGCAGACGATTTCCACCAAATGACCAGCGAGGAGCAAATGTGAACCAACTGAGGGCAGCAGAGAGAATCTTGTCCTTCAGTCTAAACTTCGAGGGGAGATCGAGGGTAGTGGTATGTCTCAGGACTCTTAAGCCGAATAGGACGATCTGAAATCTTATCTCTCGAGCAAGCGGGTGCCCCGTGGAGTGTTTAAAGCTATCCAGTGTCATTTCCAGGATTCTCAAAAATGTCTTCTCGGTATGTGGGCTGCCAAGGCGAGTCGCGTTGAAATGACTACTGAGGAGCTGTAGGAGTCGCGTATGGGGAGCAAGCATATTGTTGACGGCCTGTTGCTTTTTGGCCAGGACTTTCCTATCGCTAGGTGCGAACTCCTCCTTTATATAGAAAGGATCTTGATGGCTATCAACTGTTAGTTTGCAAGAAAATGAATATTCGAATGTACTTACATGAACATGCCATTGAAAATTCCAATTTTACGTTGTGAGGTCAATTCCCATTGTTGAGCGATTTCCATCAGAATTCTTGGTTCCATGCTTGGATTCTCGTTGATAACGCCAAACCACAAGGAACCCCCAAGTTTAATTGACTGCTTGGTAAAAATAGCGAAAGGTATGGAAACAAGATAGCGGATGATAGCACATTCATCTTTGTCACTTCGGCAAAGCAAAGCAGCAGCTCTTCTTAGCACATCGCGGATCTCGGCAATTGCTATGTGTTTCTTTGCGTGAATTTGTGCTTCAAGTTTGGATAGAAGTGATACTGCATCGTTACAATCTTTGTCAGACTCCGATGTGATCGAAGGTCTGTGTTCGTCGAGATGCATGGAGCGCAGCCATTCGGCGTTGTGATCAGGAAGAGTTTCTGCATATCGGTACTCTTGCCTTGTAGTATATTGAGCAATGAAATCAGAGGCCGTATTGATATTGCAGTCCCCGTGACGATCGATTGCCTCAAGCCTCTGGTCCATACTTGGAATGACTGCTCCCATTTCGGAAGCAAACGACCGTCCAAGGGAGATATGACCATAAGCTCCTTCATCATCATATTCTGAGAGGTATGTCTGTAGCAAACCCTTTACATTTGCAGGAGCAATATTAATCACTGCTGTGACCCAGCCTTTAGCCTTTTTGTATAAAGCATCAAGGGTGCGACGACGGAGACCATAATCATCAGACAATTCGATAGTTATATGTCCTTTGGCGGAAGTAAAGGAGGATCTCAACCCATATTCATCGGTTTCAGCTTCTAAACAACTTACCCATAGGAGTGACAAAAGTTCAAGAAGTGCAAACAAAGAGGATTTTTGACACAGAGCAGATGGCACATCTCGAATTATCCTGTCTGCGCAGTTCATAGCAGCTTGTTGGACCCTTTCGATTCGATAGCAACAACCAGTAAATATTGAGGCTAATTGTTTGGCAACGTACGGAGCTGAAAAGGTTGGGTTTAGGCCTGTCAAAGATTTGCGTAAATAAGTGTCCATAACAGCAGCGGTGACACTTTCCATCGCGCTGCTCATTTCACCTCTACGCATGCTAGGCTCAAGGAAGTAGGTCAACGCTTTGCTGCAATCGCCTGCATCAGCCCGTAGCGTTTCAAGCAAATAGGCAGCTTGAAGGAATATGACTTTACGATAACTAAGGGCACTGATTTCTCTAGCTTTACTAGGAAGAAGGGCTGTGAGTCGTTTTTTCTGTGTAGTTTCGTGATCTTGACTGATTCCTCGACGTAATACTGTATTCAATTCGATATCACTCTCCACCTGCTCACCTCGCTGCTCGGCAACAAGAGGTTTCGAATGAATCGCCAAGATACGCAATTCTTTCAGATGCAGCTGACCGCGCTCAGTGTTGGTAGTAAAGCCATGGACAACAATGTTAAACCAAGCATCCCGTACTAAAGATGACAGCTCCTCGCTGAGGTCATTGTTGGACACCATATTATTAGTGGAGAAAAAAATTGCCAAGGGCTGCAATAGTTGCGCAATCTCCTTGGCTGCAGCTTCTACGTCGCCTTCGCGTGTGTTCTGCCCTTGGTGGACATCGCCTCTGCTAATGATATCCTCTAGTAAGTTCTCAAAATATATGTCATACAAGGGAGTGCCTTTTTGCAAACGAGAAGATAGGAGGTTTCGGCCTTTCATCACCTAAATCGAATTAGTTGGTGAAGCTTTTGCAGTTCTTGTAGTGAACTTACAGCATGAAGTATAATTTCATTATTTTTCATGACACCCATATGAGTGATTTTATTATAGAGTTTAAGTAACGATCGAAATTCCAGAGGGCCTCCATGTAATGATAATTCTGCTGCTGCCGTGATGATACGAGCATCGATTAATTGGTTGATTTTGTCAATCTTTTGAAGAAGCATAGACTGAGCCAAAGCAATAATTTTAGAGTCTTGGCAATTCTGTGCAATAGCGCATATAGCTTGTACGACGTTGCCGTATACAGTAGATGTCTCTTCTTCTGTGAAGATCTCCAATGATATAGAACTTCCGTTAGAATTCTTTCCATAAAGAGTTGACTGTGCAGCTCCATCCAAAGCCAAATCTCCGTTGGGTGTAGAAGTGTGTTTTTCTGGGTGGCTTGCACCAGAATTAAGAACATTTCCTAACGTATAAAGGGTCGTTATGATGGCATCCTGGGATAGATTATTCAGAACATATGCGAGACAGGCGGAGGCGATCGCATTTGTATTCCCTTGTGGATTGCTCTGGACAATGAATCTGGGGAGAAGGCGGCTGACTTCTGGAGCTAGCTGAGGAGCGAGTTTGGAGACCAAGGCCATTGATCGAAGGACAACATTGGCCAATGTATCATCGGCCATTTGCACAGGATCCGCCAAGGTATCTTCAAGCCAGGACATCAATGTTTCAGGTTCAACTTCATCATCACTTACACTCAACATTGCGCAATTCATATAGGTAGTTAAAGCACTTGCTTTGACGGAAAATGCAAGTCTTTGCTGCCAAGCAGAACCCAAACGGAGGTAATCTGCGCCGTCTTCGAGAAGACTTATTTCATTCGAAGCAATATTTGCCAAAATGTTAACCGTTTCAGGATCAACTTCATCATTGCGAGGAGTGTTGGGTCTCGAATCCTCAAGACGTGACATTAATACATTCAAAACGTCTTTGTTTTTAAGGTTCTCGACATCGACAAGTAGAAGCGATGACCCTGCAACGAGCAGCCACATAAAACTCCGTTGTAGAAGCATAGCACCCAATGGGCGGCCAATAGCTGCATAATGGCGGACATATCTCTTCCACTCCCTTACATGACTGCTCTGAAGATGGGTATTACGAATAGTTGAGAAAGCGGTCTCTACTGCGACCAAAAATCCTTCTGACAAAATAGCCTTGACACGTTCACACAAGTCTAGTCTCTCCTGTGCGCTCCAAAAATTGACCAAAGAAGCTACTGCATCTAAGAATCCCAGAAGGGATATCGTTACAGTGGCAACGTGAATTGCCTCCTCAATCTCCGTAGCATACTCTGAGCTAACTCCTCGGTTTTCCGTAGCAGTTTCGCTGGCATGTACACAGTTGTCTAGGTATATCGATAACTTCTCGGAGATGAGCTTTTGTAGGTGGCCATGTTTGATACCAATGGAGAGAAGGGCGGTGGTAAGGTTATAGCTTAGTGCCTCGACGGGTGATGGTTCGATCGCGCGAAAAAGGGGCGATTGCACAAACAATTGTGTATGCGCCTCAAGAACGTAGGGGCCCAACTGACTGGTAAGCTTCTCCGCGCTGTATGTATTATCGATCAGGGGAGCTGCTTTGCACAGGGCTAGAAGTACTTCAAATTCCCTAATGTTCTGCTCTAGGTATTAGTATCCTGTAAATAAGGAGACGTTCCCCTTTTCGTACCATAGGAGAGCCCGCCAATGAGCCCGGTGAATCATTGTTGATTCCATTCACACGCCCAGATAACTTATTGTTACCGGGAGAAACACGACAGAGCCTCTCAATATCAGAACCCTCAAAATTTCCAGTTGATGACGTCGCAGAGAGTTCAGCAATTTTAGCCAGGGCATTTCGCCTTATGCTTCTTGTGAGACTTTAGATAAGAGTTTAGTGTTTGTAGATCTTCAAAAAATAATCAAACAATATATCACACATACCTAGACATTTTTATTTGTAAACAGCAATCAGCTATTTAGACATTTTTATTGGCACCTGGGTAGTTATCGTGGTTAAATTGTGTTACTGGTATCTTGAATTTCTAAGGATACAATAAAGTTGTTCCGTTGTAGCTACCCCTGTCAGAAAGATTGGCGCTAGTTATCACCAGGCTGAAGGTCGACGCGACATCTAGAGTGATACCTTTGAACCTCAAATCTCAAACCTCCACAATATTTACCAAAGTCTCCCAAATACCTCTCCGCACTTCAACTCCAAAGATACCCAAATACGATAATCAAGATGTCCATGTTCAGTCAAAACCCATTGATGAATGGTCCAAATTACTCCTTCAATCAAGCTCCAACCAAGCAAGCTGATGGTTTCACACAACATCATGGTTTCTACCCGTATGTATCTTATGGGAGATTCACTGGCATTAAAACTAACATCATTTACAGATACACCGATAACGGTGGTTCTACTCTAGCAATCTCAGGTTCCGACTTCACTATCGTCGCCGGCGACACCCGTTCCACATCCGGATATAATATTAACACAAGATACCAACCCAAAGTCTTCAAGATCGGTGGCACAACCGCTGCTCAAGATGATGCTACTCTCGTTCTCTCCGTCGTAGGATTTGCCGCAGATGGAGAAGCACTCAAGGAACGCCTCGATGCAATCGTCAAGATGTACCGCTATCAACACGGCAAGCCTATGAGTGTTAAAGCATGCGCTCAGCGATTAGCAACTATTTTATACAGCAAGCGATTTTTCCCATACTACGTTACCGCGATTCTCGGAGGTTTGGATGAGGAGGGAAAGGGAGCAGTTTACAGTTATGATCCTGTTGGAAGTTATGAGAGAGAACAGTGCAGAGCCGCAGGCGCTGCTGCAAGTCTGATCATGCCTTTCTTGGACAACCAGGTCAACTTCAAAAACCAATATATCCCAGGTAGTGGAGAAGGACATGCATTGGCGGAAAGAGAAAAGATTCCGTTGGCTAGAAATGAAGTGGAGGATTTGGTTAAGGATGCATTTGACAGTGCGGTGGAGAGACATATTGAGGTCGGTGATGGTTTACAGATGTTGATCATTACAAAAGAGGGTATTGAGGAGATTTATAAGCCATTGAAGAAGGATTAAAATGCTCTTATACAGAGCGGTGATGCGGATTTGTATTACTAGCAAGGCATGTACATCCTCGAGCAATTGCCTTTACGAGACCAGGTCTTACTCGAAATTCATGAACTTTGCCACGACGTCCAAATGATTATGCATGTAGTTGTTTGACAAAATACTTGCAACTCGGAATCATATACACATATAACAAAATCTCCAGTGAAAAGACACAGGTCAAGTCGGAACATACATACGAGCACACATTTTTCTGCTAAGATTTGTATTTTCTTTTGACTGGACTAGTAATACATGCTGATTCGAGGACTATTAACATATTTCGGAGCACTGCAAAGTGATGCTCGATAATCTATAATGGCACAGCTCTCGATTTCGGGCAGACAATGCTCTAGTGAGCCGAGACTCTTGGAGCGGTGCTGAAATAATGTTGTTGGATTTGTTTCCGAAGGTGGGACCATGAAAATGTTCAAAAGTAAAGGCTGTACTGACGAGGCTCGAATCGTCGGGGCAAATAGAGAGTATTGTTACCAAATCATATATCTTCTTCTAGGATTCATGCACTTGACCCGGTTGACGAACAATAACATTCTCAAAGTTTGTAGTATATGATTCAACCAGCATAAAATCAGGGCCATTTGGAGAATCAAGCATCGCCAGAATCTGACCGCCTCCATCTCCTACAAGAATACCTTTTACACAAGGGTCAAAGAGGCATTCAATATCTGTTGCAGAATCGCCATAATAGGCCGCTTGATCATCGGTGTCGAGGTCCCAATGTTTAAGCAATCTGTGCATTGCGCTTGATTTCGTGTCCGATGTAGTTAACGGTGTCATGAATTCTCGGCTATGAACGTGTAGGAAGTGATTAATGAGAAGTTGGGTACTAGCAAAGGGGCCGAAATCGCAATCCGGGCATTTGGATTCAGTAGTGTTGAGTCCAGCTTCCCAACCCCATTCAGGACCCCTCAAGATTCCTGCTTCGTCTGGAGAATTCGCTACGATTGGTGCTTCGATAAAATATCCCAAATATTGCTCCAAAGCGCCCCTTATGAAGTCCTTTGAGAAACTAACTGAGACGACCCCCCAAGAACCATTTCGTTTTTCAATCTCATCTATAATTTCCCTGAAGCCTTCTCTGATCACCAATTTTCCCTCCAAGACATCCCGCGAACCAGCAGCTTCCCATTCCCTTTTTGATATGCCTGCAAATATACCTGAACTACTGATGCGGTTGATGCTTCTAGTCTCAAGTTCCTTCTGGCTTCTTTGACGCTCAATTATCCCCTCCAATGTGTTCCATTTCGGCTCGTATCCCTCAATGTGAGCACGATACTCAGCGTCATATGCAGTAACGATTTCTTGCCAGACTGTAGTGAAATCTTTCGCATTGGCAAGATGATAGGCAATAGCAGTGTCTGCAATGAGCTGGCTAGTGTCCTTCATGGTAATTGTGCAATCGAAGTCGAAGATGAAATGAGTAATTCTTTCGTCCCTCGGGTGTGTCGTACGAAGAACCGGAAGCGGATCGGGCTTCATGATGTTTGATGTTCTTCTTTTGTGTAATAGACGATTAGAATCTTAACCAGAGGGTATGAGAATGAGATTCGTTGGCTAAAAAGTCGAACGGAAGAAACCATGAGCAAAACCTGAACGGTATAATCATAGCGACTTGGCTTATTGACTGACCACTTGATCCAACTTGCCAAACACGGTAGGTATCTTGTAGAGAGTCACTTCCCTGAGGTGAGGTCTATATGTTGAAGGCAGGTGATGAGCACATGATTATAGATAGATAGAGTTTATTGCAACTCGAATAGAAGTCGCAGACCGAGAGAAATACCTACATAGCAAGCCTTATAACGATCCTCAATGTTAGATACAGTCCTAGTGACTCAAATCTCTCTTAAATTTCAGAGTGTTACATAAGAAACCAAAGCAAAAAGGCTTTTCGAAATGGTAATGCGTATGGTGGGAGACTTTGTTACCAATACTAACACGTGACTATCCAGGTACTCGTTACTGACTAGCCATTCACGTGCCATTTTGTTTTTACAGCAGCGATGTGTTAGTGCCTTGATTACTAAGCATTTACAGAAAGCACCTCAACGACCACTACCCACCCAGGACTTACTCGAACTACCTCTCTCTCATCTTTTGATCCAACAACACCAAGACATTGAATTTGAAGATGCCTACTGAATTAATTAATTCGCTGAATTCGAGTTTTCTCATCATATCAGATAGTTCTCATAATTACCATTCATAGAATGTTCTCACTGTTTCTGGCAAGTTTCCAACGCCTTCCAGCATTTTCCAGCATTTTCCAGCATTTTCCAGCATTTTCCAGTGATTGCTTCATGCTTCAATGGCCTGATGTCTCCTGATTTCAAACCCCGCATCTGTTCTCTGTAATTCTATTTGCTCTCAAACATGGTAGTCGTCATTCTAGAAAGTGCTGGTGTTCAATTGAATATTGATCATTACATCAATATCGTAAATTCTAGTAATTGCTAGAAAGTCCAGGAGTCCATCAAATTAAATATATAAAGGTAGGCTCAATCTCTGAATAACCTCTTTTCTTTTTTCATCATCAGTACAACAATCTTCACTACAATTTCATGCAATCTTGTTATCGAACAACTTCAAGACTTCCAGTCGCAACAACTATCAAACGAATTCTCAAACCACAAACAACCACACGCAAAATGTCTTTCTTCCCACGACACTACATCACAAACGAGGCTTCCTCCTTCCATCCTCTCTTCCGTCTTCTTGACGACTTTGATCAATACAGCAGTGGTCGCAACGACAACAACTCTCGTCACCACCGCAGCAACGTCATGAAGACCTTCACTCCAAAATTCGATGTCAAGGAAGCCGGTGAAGTCTATGAGCTCCACGGTGAGCTTCCAGGTATCGAGCAGAAGGATGTCGAAATCGAATTCGTCGATGACCAAACCCTCACCATCCGTGGTCGTACCGAGCGCTCTTACACTTCCGGTACTCCACCAGCTGGGTTCGTCGAAGATGCACCCAAGTCGTCTGGCGCCATCACTGAAGGTGGTGAAACCGAACACAAAGACAAAGTTCACCAACCAACCGTCGAAGATGAAGATGCATCAACTCCAGCCAGCACTGACGCCAACACTCAAATGACCAAGGCTAGCGAGGAGAGAAAGGCCAAGGAACCTGAACACAAATTCTGGGTTTCTGAGCGTAGCATCGGTGAATTCTCCCGATCTTTCAGCTTCCCAGTTCGCGTCAATCAAGATGCAGTCCAGGCTAGCATGAAGAACGGCATTCTTAGCATCATCGTTCCAAAGGCTAAGAAACAAGAAGGCCGCAAGATCACCATTCAGTAAATCAATTACTTCTCTCGATTTATTTGTTTACTTCTACGATATTACGAATGCATCAACGGAAGGAAGGAAGCGAGGAGTACTTTGGCACTGGCATTTTCTTAGCGATGGATTAATTATGGTGTTTTAAGGGAGGAAAGGGAAAGGAGCTGGAGGTGATAATGGCAGAGTTGCTTGCAGGAGAAAATTTATGGTACTTTGCTACGAGTTTGACTTGCTCTTTATTTTTCTTTGTTTGCTAGCACTAATCCTATGTACTTACATAAAAAATATTAAAAAAAAAGAGCACTTGATATCAAGATGTATTGCCTATCCATAGCCTTGTGAAATTTGAGTGTGATTTCAATAAGAGGGAAAACCTAGCTGACTGTAATGCATCTCCCTTCTAATGGTACCCAAAATGCCAATGAAGAACAGTACCAATTTTGCATGCCGGCCTTTACAGCTTTCACTTTACCACAAATCTGTTTGAGCTTTGATTTTGACACAGCTTGAGTCCAAAAGATAGATTTAAGGTTTACTTATTGTAATATTTGCCACTGGCATCCTGTTAAGTATTTGGGCGAAATGAATTAATTAGAAGGTATGTGTAGCAGACCAATCCATCGTTTTTAGTAATTTTCATACATGAAAACTCCCACTTTCTATCTGGTCGATTAGACTTGTTACTGGCAGCTTGTCATTAGGTGATATTAGCAGTCGAGAACCCTCGATCTACACTCTGATCACCATATGCCCATTTCGTTTCAGATGATTTCACTGCTTACCCACCCCTTTAAGACACATCCACTGAATCCACACTCCTTCATCTTGACACTGAGAGTCTGAGACACCTGATAGGATAAGCGATGCAAAACTTCCGTCACTTGCCCAGTGCATATCTAAAAGACCTGACGCGAAAGCTTCATTTAAACCAACGTCGAACGCTCCATCCCGATTACCAAAATTAACGCAATCCATGATTTTGATGTCAATCACTCGAAACAATAAACATAAGTTTGACCTTGAAACTTCATGATGAAAAAAGTCATCTCGTAGATATTGCATCTGGTCCGTCCGTGTATTGTAATCGTAGCGGTCAAGGACCATTCAAATGATGGAAGTGAGGATATCTACACGTCCCTGAATTTTTCATATAAAAAATAAATTGACAGACGAGGGCAAAACCGCCAAACAATTAATCAATTCCATAAAAGCCCTAATGAGATGTCGATCCCCAGAGCCTCGAACGTGTGGGATCGATATCATTGGTTGCTTATCAAGGGATGGAATCTTTGATGATACCTTACTACTCCTAGAAAATCCTACGGTATCTAATTGATCCTTCCGCAGAACGTATCATTCCAGACGTCTGAGAGATTGCTTGGCTGGGGGAGAGACAATGTTCACTCCCACGCTGCCATGCCGTGTCCACTGCCCAGCCATGTTATCGCGATTGTCATGAACACATCGGTGAACTAACTACCATGATCCAAGAACCATTTAAGAAACAATATGGGGTTTAATCTTAAGCTACTGCAAGGACCCACATGAAATGCCACCAACAGCCCTGCAAGAACCCGTTCACCCGTCAATTATGATTTGTCTAGATTTCTGAAATATCAATATTTGAGCATTTTAGAATTCGCTCTTCGTCACGATCGTTCGCGGCCTTTATAAGTTTCCTTCATGCCGTGCGACGGATTCGTATGGTGAACGGTAGATTGAGACTAGTGAATCTATTAACGGCTGCTATTGTATTGACTATTTTTTTTAGTAGCACAATGGCATCTATGTATAGATATATTATTAGTTGTTCATCTTTTGGCTAATTCACGCTTCATATGACGTTTTTCCAATCTCTCAAATCGCTGTCTAATATTCACCAATGATCGATTTATTTGGCTTCATCAATTTCATGTTTCTAATAAGAATTTTGAAAACAAACAAAGGTACTCCCTGTATGCTCCAACCTTGACAGGCCTGAGTGGAGCTTCGATTCTTCGACGATTAGATGAATTTATAATCTCTATGCGGACATCATACCAAAACATGTAAACCATACAATTGTCTGCGACAAGCGAGATATCCATGCCACAACACCAGTGTAACAATCATATCACAGATGATATCAACCTTAAAAGGTTCGATCAATCGCCACCTGGGCAAGTACAGAGACAGTAGCTACCTACCTATTGGTTAGTTAAAAGTGAATCAAGATTCGACAGCATGGACCCATGGGGGCGTACGACAGGAACAACAAGGAGATTTGCCATGGAACCGTGATAGATTGCAGCCCCAATCGCATCAACGAATCGCCTCATTCCCGTGAATTCTTTCCAATTCCTCATTCAAATTATGGAAGAGATGAGTATTGGAGACGGTAGAGCTTGTCAATATCCGCTTAGTGGGTCGAGGAGATTCACTTTGTGGGTCGACAGGGGAATCGTTATCAAAGGGGGGAATAACCCGGGATATCAGCTTTGATGGCCTTTATACCTGACAATTAGACGCGTGTATATATGACGCTGCCGTTCGTCTTCAGTTCACCTTTTTCTTTTTTTCTGTATCCATCGATCAGTTACACTCATTTACAATATAGTAATCACACATTCATTTAAAAAACAATCAATCTCTTCAAAATCCAAACACCTTCTCCAAACCAAAAACCAACCCAAAAAACTTCAATCTATCAAAATGCAGTTCAACATCCTCGCCCTTACCGTTGCCGCCATGGCCTCCGTCGCAGTCGCCACTGAGTAAGTTCTTCCGACTTCGAAAATTTAGATCGAACTTCAATATTAACAACATTCATAGGACTGTCACCGTCTACGCTTGCCCAAGCTCCACTGGTCTCTCCGGCTCTGCTGCCACCGCTGGTGCTTCCTCTGGATCCTCTGCTGGAGAATCTTCCGGCATCACCTCCGGTTCCACTGGATCTTCCTCCAGTGAATCCTCCGGCCTCACCTCCAACCCATCTGGTGTTGCTGCCCCATCCGGTGTTGCCGCCCCAACTGCCTCCTCCGGTGTCGTTACCTCCCCATCTGGAACCAGCTCCCCAATTGCTTACGCTACTGGTGCTGCTGGTCACATCCAAGTTTCCGCTTTCGGAATGGTTGTTGCTGGTGCCGTTGCTCTTGTATGTTCTCAACCCACAACCTCTCATCTCTAACATGAAACTAATCCATAAGCTAGCTCATCTAAATTCTTTAATCGAGCATCGAAAGGCGTCTGGATCATTAACGATGGCGTCTTCAATTCTTTCGATAATTTGGCCTAACGACGTATCTTTTTCTTTCGTGATCCAGCGACGATATACCCTGACGTGTGATCTACACTTGTGGCGCAAGTTGGATGGCTAATTTGGTTCAATTACGGAGCTGCTGGATTTTTGCAGAGGATGTGGATGATGCTTTGACATCGACTTCTCTTGTACATATGATACTTCATTGCAAGCATATTAAATCAACAAGACTACGTCGATTTCTTGAGCTGTGAATACTACAAATCAATAATAAAATAATCTCTCGGTTCATTGTGAACTTCATGGAAATTTTTCTTTTTTCACTGTTCGAGTCCCATAGTTGAGGTGATTTTTTTTGCAACTTGGCGTCTGGGGATCTTCGAAGTCCCGACGAGCACCCACAATTTCCATTCATATCCGTTCCAGATATACACAGCGGTACTCTACCTGGAGCTCTCTGAAATCATAATATGATAGGCTGAAGCAACCCACAACTTTCGTATGGACACTATGTACCTACGCACATCACAACCTCGACCAAACACATCCGCAACATACCATCGTTCCAAACAAATAACAGCAATTAATCTAGATATGCCAAGGATTCACACTAAGCCGAAGACAAAAGATGCAGGAGTACTATTCTCCATGAATATTGATAGCTACCTAAGATAATTCATAAGCTTATCTCTACATATTTGCCTTACCTAGGTACCTAGGTAGTCTTCAGTCCGTTGATTAGGTTAATCACTTTACCTTCATCAAGACCACCACAGCTCTCCGCTGCAGCGGCTCTTTTATCTCTTGGGGTTTAGAGATTCCTATCCATCAAGCAACATCATAAGTACTAGGGTCTTTGATCATTGAACATTACTGCTGTCCAATCTGCTATCCACGTAACATATTCCGTAGCTCCCATGTCTTGGGAAATAACATATGAACCTATTGCTATCTACCTTTACGATTCCATCAGTCATGAATCAGCGAGTTCGTGTTAAATGGTTGCATTTAATTGACCTAGAAAGCATTTATCCATACTTATCATATCGCAGGTGTGTAGGTAGGCGTGGTAGGTAGGTATATATGGCAAGTTAGGAAGAAAAGGGGAGGAAATGAAGTTACCAAATTTCCCTGCACGGTCGTGACTGTCAGCCCCAGCCAAGAAAAAACCCCTAGCGAGCCTCGCCCAAAATTCCCGTCTCCAAAGCTAAGCTTCCTCATGCACATGTAAATCAAAGCAAAATATCTCCATCTCCTTTTCCACCATACCACACACCACACCACCAAAATGGCACAACCACTCCCCCGATTCTCGCGTCGATTTCTTCAACAATCTTCGCCCTTTCAATCTCTCCCACGCACACGCAGTTTCCGTCCTCAGTTCCATGCGAATGCCAAATCTACGAGAGGTTACTCAACAGGAGGACCTAGTAAAAGTCCATTGAAGATCTGGCCTTTTGTTGCTATTACATTGGTGGGAAGTGGTGCTTATGCGATGATGGTTAGGAGTAGAGCTGGTACTGGTATGTTATGTGTTCTCCTTGCTATTGGGTGTGGATAACTGGAGTGAATGCGATTGGAAGATTGGATGGGGACAACACATGGGATTGATGCTCTTGCTTGAATGGATCTGAGGGCCGCTTTAAGTCTTGGTGTATGACCATGAGTCCATCACCGAAATCACTTCATCTCATGCATCCGCTCATTATCCATGATCCATCTATCCACCCATCTACCAAAATTCCCTTTCCCTTTCCCACTACTTCCCTTACCATATTCAGCAGCAACTCATCTCTAACATCCCAAACCACCAGACATGGCCCCTCCAACTCCCCAACTCCCTTCTCCCCCAAAACCAACACCAACCTTCTCTCCCGAAAAAGTAACCATCCTCTTCGTTCTCGGCGGTCCAGGAGCCGGGAAAGGTACTCAATGCGCCAACCTCGTCCGAGACTACAACTTTACCCATCTCTCCGCCGGGGATCTACTACGAGCTGAGCAAGAGCGTCCCGGCTCTGAATTCGGAGAAATGATTAAAGATTACATCAAGAACGGTCTTATAGTCCCCATGGAAGTAACAGTTCAACTGCTCGAAAACGCCATGACGGAAGTCATTTCCAAATCCCCCACTGGAACTGGGAAGTTCTTGATCGATGGATTTCCACGCAAATTAGATCAAGCGCATAAATTTGAAGATACAGTTTGTAAAGGAAGATATGTGTTGTTCTACGATTGCCCCGAGGCGGAAATGCAAAGGAGATTGATGGAGAGGGGAAAGACTAGTGGCAGAACAGATGATAATGCTGAGAGCATTCAGAAGCGTTTCAAGGTTTTCATAGAGACGAGTATGCCGGTTGTGGATTATTTTGATAAGCAGGGCAGAGTAATCAAGCTCGATGCTACAAAGACCCCAGAGGGGGTTTATGAGGAGACTAGGAAGAAGTTGGAGGAGAAGTTGGGAAAGACATTTTGAGAAGGGTCGCGGATACACAGGTTTTGGAAGTCGGGGATATGGAAATGGATATAGGTAGATTGCATAGGAGGGAGTTTGATAGATATATGGGAGCAGGCAAGGAGGGTATAATCCGGAATAAAGATCAGGAAAGTAAAAAAATACCTCATACAGAGTATGGAAAAAGGCATACAGCAGCAAATAACAAACATATAATACGAATCAGGGATTGACATCCTTCATTCTCGTTAAGATTCGATACTTTTAGAAATCATAAACATCAGGCATGTTCAAATGTACATCTCATTCGATATGTAGATTTCTATTCTTAATCTTCTTTTCACTTCACGCCCTTTTCATGGCTTCATATCGTGGCTTCATCGTGAACATGAAAATAATGGATGTTCTCCTACACCATTACCAGATGCTAATGCAAACCATTGCCTTGCTTGCCACTGTACAAACATCTAAGAACGCCGACGAAACGAGGAACCTTTTTTTTTAGACCAATCCATGAATTAATAACAGCTTTCATGAGTTGATGTCCTAATCAGTACCCATCTCTACCATGTTATCACTTCTTCGTCCAGCTCTCATCCCCTGAGTACCAGAAACCTTCTTATCAGCCTCTTGGATTTCTTTCTCCTTTTGAGTTTCAGCAGCTTGTCTCTCCCTGCTGATAACCTCCTTTACGCCTCTCAAGCTCTCCTTCCATTGATCCAACCTCGTGGCAACCTCACGCCATTGCTTCTCTCCAAATACACGGTATGTGGTTCTGTGAATAAGGAAAATTTGCTTCTGTTGTGATAATTTGCCCTCAACCAAACCAGCTCTGATAACGTCGATAACCCACATCTCAACATCTTCAGGTGCGACTTGCAATGCTTTGGAAATGCGCTTGTATTCGAGTTCGCGGGTATGGGTCGAGGCAGCCAAGCTAGCCAAGGTCAAGAGCCGCATCTTACGATGCAACTTGCTGTTGTCCAAGTTCTCTTTCTCGACGAAACCATCGTGCTCGTCTTGGAAATCATTGTAGTCCTCAAGCTCCTTCTCGGCGAAAATTTCAAGGAGTTCAGAGTAGATTGCGTGGGAATCGCTCAAGGCTTGAACGGCGGGGAGGGAAGTAAGATCGTGGAAGTCGAAATGGGTGTTGGAGAGAATTGCGGTTCTTAATGCTTTAATGGCGAGTTTCTGAGCCGATTCGGAAGCAATAGCTTTCTCATCTTTGCCATCGAAAGTTCGGAGAGCTTTGAGAATATATTGGTATGATTCCCTAAACGTAGTAAGATTAGTAAAATATACTCGAGTGACTGAGATTGACTTCAAACGTACTCCTCCTCGCCGGAATCATCTGCCACTTCTGCGATCATTTCGAAAAGTTTTCTTTGCTCCTCCTCCTCAATCTGCCATTCAATAATCCAAGTGTCCAATTTCTTCAACTGTGGTCGCAACATTTCGTAGTTTCCACTGTTCTTAATGAGCTTAAGAACAGCTTGGAAGACATTAAATCTGGTCTCATTATCTGGTTGTAAAAGGTTGAAGATGGTTGTCAGAACATTCAGCGCGAGGCCTGGTCCATTCAAAGGTGATGTAGTAATTGGCTTTGCGAGGTTGTCGCAAATTCTAGGCAGATACATGTTGATATTTGGAGACTGGTTGCAGAGGTAGACCAATAGGTTGTATGCGGCAGTAAATTCTTTCTCTGGGGATGAGTTCAACTTTTCCGAAGCAGTGACAAGTTTCTTTAAAGCTTCATCCTTTTGTTTTCCTGCGAGGAGGGGTTGAACTTCTGGGCCGATTTCAAGGTATTCGGCCAGCTCTTGTGCCAAATCCTCGAAAGTGCCATCGATGAAGACTTGCTGCGTCGCGGGCGCCATATTTGCAGAAATGATCGAAATGTGGTTGAGGCGGGGAGGTTGGGGTCTTCGATGGGGTAAAAATTACGATTCTTGAAGTTGTCGGTATCAAAATGTTCTCTTTCTCTTGTGGGATGCGCTAACCGAGGGGCTAGTACGGCGATATTTTTACGACACATATCGGTATCAGTACGTACGAATGTCAATGGGTACTTGAAAGAGACAAAGAATGAACAATCATGAGATTGTACAAGATCAAGATGGATATAAAGAGAAGAGTGAGTTGTCACAATTTTGATTTGTACGCCTACTATTTGCTGCCATGTTCATTTTCATTCCGTAGCCTAGTGGCGAGGATATGAGCGAAATTCTAAGAAACTGCTTGAAGTACCTAAAATCATTAATTAATTTCGAAAATTATAATGAAAAGATTCCAAATCTTCTCAGTTAATTAGGATACGATTTAAATATTGAGGAAATTTCACTCCGTGAGAAGAATCGTCCATAAGTTCATAGTTCGAAGCTCAAAGCCAATTCAAAAAATGCAGAGAATCCAAGTGGGTTCATCAATGGCTTCCGGTGAACTTTGTTTCCGGTGACCCTTGGGAAATCTTCCTGTGTGAGACTGCTTTCAAATGGACCTTCACATTATTACTTCTAATGAAGACAATGTTGCAAGCTCTCGTTGGTCTCGCATTTGTCAACCTGTGTTAAATTGTACAGCACGGGCATATGTTTATGCCTCCTGTCGGCGAAATCGAGCATGCCGAATTTGTAGCAGGAATTCTCAAGTAATTCGTGTGGATTTGTAAACGAGTACTGTACCTTTCACTTTTCCGACTCTGCCATACTTTGCATGCCTAATATGCTACTTTCTCTGACAGAGGTGTTCGAACTTCTTGGTGCTGTCGTCAAAGGCATTAACGAATGAATACCTACGTTATACTGCCTTCACAAATCTTCGGAAACTGAAATTCTAGAGTATCACCAGTTCGGTCTTTTACTTAATCGAGATGGAATCTCAACATCATGCCCACACTGTTGTGCTCATCGATGGTGTATACCCCAATCTCTTCGAATACGTTACTCAGAAAATTAGACTATCGATACTCTACCAAGCCTGGGGGTAAATGTGCTAACTATGCAAAGATTGTTTAGGGAGTGGTTAAAATTTGAACTTTCCGTTTCAGTTCTTGCGTACACTTCTTTGCAGATATTAGTGACCCTTTATTTTTATAACCAAATGTTTTTACAACATTTTACGGAGATGTGAGATATTCGGTATGTGGAGGACCCGTTCCTAGTCAACCCTTATTGGACATACCCAATGATAGAATCAGGCGAGCACAGGGATTTTTGTACAAAGTGGGTTCTAAGCTGGTTCACAGGAACAGAAGAGAAGAAATTGGAATGCCTATTTGTCACCCAGAACCCCTATGAGCATCAAAAGCGATTTCCTCTCCTATTGAAACCTTATCTGAAACTAACCACTAGTTATTTGTATTCACTTCTTCAGATGGAGATGTCTTTCCTACTCAATAGTTCACATCAATGATTCCAAGTGGTATCGGACCTCATCAAACGTTCACCGCGGAAAGGTCTCATTGGGAAATGCGTGATAAGGATCTATTGAGGTTTCTCGATTCCAATATTTTCGTTTAAGAAGGCCTTGTACCAGGTAGCTAGAAGTGGGTTTTATGTTTAGCTTTCGCTGCAAGGTGTACTTATAGTTATTTCCAAATAGTATCTCGAACATGTATTATGTGATGATTTGTTTCCAGACGAACAATGAAGAATTTTAAGAGTAAGTAAGGTTGTGGTTCTATTGGCAAATTTTCAACTGCCAAATGCTTAATGTCATTCCGACGAAGAAAATGTATAAGCTAACAATAATCGCTGGACTTTTTCTCTTGTCATCAATTTCACACGTACTACACCTTATAACCAATCGATATGGTTATGCGCGCGTATGCGGCTGTATTATGCGCTTCTTCAGCATCACATAATTCCGGAAGATGAATAATTTTTGTGAAGACTATGCGTTTCGACCATACATGCACTAAGCGCCACAATCACCCATTGACAATAAATAGAGCGAGGGTCCTTTCATGGGCTAAACGGTTGCTGACATTTTATAGGATAGCATTGGTTGCTGGGTCATGTATCATGTTATTAGAGAGGTCTATCTTGCTGCTCTGTTGACCAAAGTTAGTGTCAAGACCCTCGTATCAGGTGTAAGCAAGACTAGAGGAAACAGTTCCGCATCGTGTATCCATCTTTCCCGCGATATAAACTAGGTACCTCAACTGAAACTTAAGGTGTTCAGAATATTCAGAGACATCAGGTTTGATGCCATGTTATATCGAGCACAAGAATACAGCTTCAGAATCCTTGCCCTCCGGACCATGTTTTCCTTGGTGAAATTGCCACGCTGCATATCCCACCAAAGCCAAAGTGACCTCGCTCAAAAGCTTGTAAAGCTTGTTGTTAGCCAAAGATTTGGCCTGTTCTCCCCATACACTTATGGAGATCATGCGAAAAGATCTGATTGTCTAGCGCTCAGTCAGTCCTAAGTGGACATCCAAGATCTTGCAATGATTCTCAATTGTATTCGGAGCCCGAGAGGCATCTTCTGCCTACAACAAGCTCGCTGGTTACCTTCAATTACCCTTGATAACACTGCTGCGAATGTCAGCTGTTATGAACTGAGTGATTTGTATTCGCTGAGATCATGGAATTTAAGTTCAGTTTGCCGCGTATGAGTGACTTGTAAGACGATTGTACTAACGGAATTGATAATTCATGTACGGGTGAATCAGATTTTGCTTAAGCCTTTGAGGATCACCTGGGCATGGTCTATACGATCCCAGTAAGATGGTAAGGAATGGTCGTCAGTGGTAGCGCTTTACGTCTTCCCCTAGTGCTGAGCGATAAGATAAGGTTTAGTGTGATGGTTCAGGACCTACGCGGCACTTGTTCTGATGCTATTGCATGTCTTTCAAGAACTGGAAGAAACAGATCGTCACTTCTGATTCTCAATGATATGAATATTTCCGAGGCCTTTTGGGAAAAGAAGGGTTGGTCATCGCTAATATATGAAACCGAGTGGACATAGTTGCTATGATAGAACTTTAAGTTTCAATAGAAGTCAATAAGTGCTTGTACGAAATTATGATGCGTAGCGAGGTTTCCCAGTCGAAGTACGATCACTCGATAGCAGAGGGTATACCAAGATACATATATTTCAAGATAACCAAGATGGATAGTTGATTTTGTAGACTTACGATGTTCATGTGTTTGATAGAAGTCTGGAGAGCTAAGATAGAGGCGGTTATAGACGGCGTCTACTGCCACTTGGAGATTGTAAGTATAGGAGGGTGACAAGTGGGGATGCCCGACTTGGCCTATTGTTGTTATCAGTTCCGCTGACATAGAGTTTTCAATGGAATTCACTATTCTCCTAAACATTCTCAACTTGTAGATGAAAACAGCGTTTGGATTTCTTTATAGTCGGAGATGCGACGCGATCCTGATGTCGATCTTTGTAGCTTGTTCGTTGGGTGTGGGGGGTCGGGTATGGATGCGTAAGACATTGAAGAGTGCCTAGATGCAACTATGCTTCGATGTTGATCCAATGAACTTGTCATATGTCCATAAACGGATATTGATATGCCCAAAACATGAGATTTACCAAGAATCAGATAAGCCTTTATTTATTATTTGAATCGTGATGCCTTTCAATCTCACTTGGGGTGGTCGAGATCGAGGATTTCAGAATCTGAATTTTGGTGGTGGGGTGAACTGTTGTGTGGCAAATTTCTGCAAACCCCGGATCATCGAGCTGGGAAACTATTTGTGACCACAGAAAAGGAGCTCCAAGGGCACCACAGGATATTTCTGGTGCTACGATGTCTGATTGCGGGATTCATATCTTACCGGAATACGTTTAAATCGTCGAGCTTTCAAGTTCTGGAAACCCGCAAACCCTAATGGTATCCTAAGGGTTGCCGGCATATTGAGGCTTCATGCTTTTCTCCAGAGCTGTTGAATTTTGCTGAATTGGTGCTGTGTTTCTGTGTTATGTTTCACAGCTAGTTGCGAGATTATGGGGCTTTAATAGCTAGAGGTCAAACCTTTTTCCGATGCAGCGAAGCAAACCTTGCAGTTACAGACAGTGCAATATTCATTTGCAATGCATGAAGTATGTTCTACTGCGATGTGACTTCTGGGAATCCACGCAAAGATAATTTACCGACTTCGCGGGAAGTGCCTCTCAAAAATATACGACTAGAATGAGAGTAATTAACGCCATCGGCGAAGGTGGGTCTCCTCCAAGCAAAAAACAATCATTGGGGGGCCGAGGCCCAGAGACAAGAACCATGGGTGCGACGGGAAAGATCCTGTCCAATGCCTTCGACGGAGAAAGCATACTCGGCCATGCACTCACAGCAGATGTGACATGCCCAATTTACGATAAATGACAAGTAGACTAGACTCGGAGTTGTACATCTTTGGGAGCCACCGAAACTTTTCCAGGTTGAACACCATGTTCACCTCCTCCATCTCTTATACTCACTGCTGGGGCTGGGGTATCCTCCAACAAGCTATGCCAACTTGGGGGTCGAGCTAGATCGTGCATGGGTGTCTTATAAGAGCACTGCTAAAGAGATATTCAGTCGGGTATCAGTGAGAGGACCAACGATATATGCTATGGGAGTTGCACTAGCCTAGTATAATACAGTCATGCGTGTTGGTAAAGGGTAAATTTCAAGAAACAACATGCGATATTTATCATGAGCCATCAAAGGAGACAGTAGAGGAGCCAGCGTTGTAGGCGGCAAACATCGAGTTGTCCAGGGACTTTGAACAAGCGATCTAGAACATGATTCTTATGTAGTGTGGCGATCAGAGCTAAATGGTTATGCTCTTTCTATAAATTGCGCAATCACTCACACCGTAAATTTAGCACTCATGAAGGTGCTAGTTGAGATCTTCAAAGATACCTAGCATCCTGGGAGATGGGGGAACTCAAATATGAAGTGGGCATTCTTTTGCTGTGATTTTCCTTACTCAAGTATCGACTGGGTATAATTGCGGGTATCTAGAAGGTTGGCACATGAAATGTACACATTTCCGAGACATACTTGTTAGAGACGCTAAGGTGAACTGTCCCCTGGAACCTTATGAAACCTCAAACAGACCCTTAAAATAGAGTACTCGGTACCTTCCTGGTGATGCAATAGAGTTACTTGATATACTTGGTATCTGCTTCCTCTACTCTACCGTCACTGAACGATGAATTCTTCTAACAGCACAGCAAACTTTAGTTGAACGTCAGTGGTCAATGTTCAATGGTCAACACCAACATCGATCATTAGCGTGTGCAACTGAAGCTCTTCTAGCCTTCAGGAGCGACACCGAGTGAGAAACCTCAGAACTAACAAGCTACCCTGACCTGGTCAGGGCTTAGCCATCCGTCAAACTTGACCTCCCTTCTTTGAGGGAAAGCACGGCACCTACAATGCTTGATAGAATGTTGATATCTTTTCTGTTAAAGCAGCATTGGGTGGCGAGGACTGTTTCGTCGGCAATATTTTGCTTTTCTCTGTTCAGGCAACGGCTCCTCTATAAATTTTACAACGTAGGATGATTGTGCATTTTCCCAAGTACGCCGGAGGTAAGCGGAAGTCACGATGAGAGTCTTCATGAGCTTCTATGGTGATCGTTTACTTGATAAGGCTGGTGCACTGTTGATCATTACTATACAAAAGGAGTTGTGTCTCAGCCCCAGTGTGGCGTAATTGACCATGATATTGGCAGCACCTAGGTATATTCCATGGTGATATACTTTTTACCTAGCTCACCTGGGAAGCCTCGGTATTACTGATGAAAACGTTACGAGAAGACGCACTTATCATGCTGGTGATGGGATGGGCTATTTTCAGTAACAACATGTCAATTACGTATAGGATTAAACCTTGCGTCGTTGATGAATACCGTCAGTCTTCAATTAGCTACAACCTAGGTATTACACGTTTCGCACAACTTATGTAGCTAGTTTCCATGGAAAAATGATGTTCGGGGAGAATACCGGTAGAATTACATCCCACCCAATATCCATACACCCGAAAGCATCCAATGATTGTATCGGAGTTGCGCCATTCGCTTCGGAGACCGGACCCCTTACCGAGAAGTTACTTTTCCAATCATGGTTTTGGACATCAATCCTTCTTTTTCTTCCCCACAATGACGATTCAGGGTCCATTTCCTTGGATCGATAACAAAAAGAGCAACTTCTTGATACTCAAGAAGAGACATCATCTCCAGTCTCAACCCTTCCTCCCACACAAGCAACACCGAATTGTATGCTTTTAATGATTTGCACATAGAGATCCTCAAGGATTGTTATCTAATAAAGTTTAAAAAAAGGTAGAAATCAGTCGATAATTACTTCTTTTCATTGAAGGGATGATATCAGCCGTTGACATTCATTGATATCCTTGAATAAATCTATTTCTAGTTCCGTCCATCTTTATCATATTCCGCACACTTGCATTTACTGTTTAACAAGCGGTTATTTGAAATAGTAACAACTATTAGGTAAGCCATTAAAAAGACTAGATGCTTCGGAATCGGTACTTGTGTAGTCTGTTAATAATTTGTATGTTGACAGAAATTTCAATACGCGGCTGTGGGTAGATGAAGGGGCTTGAGTCTTGATACGCTTAATAAAGCGAAGAAGCGGACACCACTTCCGCATTTGTTGAATTTTCACGTCGGAAAGAGAGGAACCTACCTGTAAGTTGGTTTGATTGGCCAAAAAGACAAAAACTCAAATCCAAACCATATGAAAAATTGCGCGCCATTCACACGCTATTTCATAGTGATGATGCCTAACATTTAGTCGTCCGTTGTCCGTCGTCCATCGTCCCCTCCATCCGTTCGGGGCTTTTGTTGTGATCGCAATAGGTAGAGCAAAAGAAAGTACGTTCTCTATGAATCTGGTACTATCAACCAATCGTAACTATGGTTTTTGAGATCAAACATGGCTATGACCTCAACTGATAACTTCTGTTCATTTGCAGAGTGGTGGAATAACCTGATGTAGCTCACTCACTCTGCTTTAGTACGTTTCGTAAGCCAATGATTCTTTTTCCTCGTACGAGCAATGATTTCATTGATTTTATCGGTGGCTTTATACACGTTCCATGCATCAAGCCACAACAAACTTTGCCTAGACACTTTTGTTGGATCTCCATACAGGTATTTCGTACCAGCCCAGAAAGCAGATACGGGGTCCGCACATCATTACTCAAGATATTTTTCGAGGATGGATCAAGACATATGAAATTATATTGATATGACTGTTGAAGATCTTTTCAAAAGAAAGAAAAAAGCCCCCAAAAATATCAATATTGATGCCTGTAGCGTCTAGACAGTATACCACGATGCCGGGTAATACTTGTATACCTCAGTACTTAAGTTTGAAGAATTGTCTATCTATTTAACTACTGAAACCTTTGCAGAAACTCCCGTTTGCATCAATATCCAATCAGTTTATTCGCCACTTCTTATACTAGCCGTGTTAACCTTACCAAGGTATACGCAAGTCTCCATCCTCAAGGGTTCTCCTGTACAGTAGAACGAAGTAGTGGTAGGCGAAGAACTCCTAGGCAAAATAAACTGCGTTCCTTCCCTTTTACAGTTTAGTCAATAATACTCGCTCGAACCATGGAATTCTACAAATCCCATGAAATTTTTACCATTTTTTAAAGCGGCCTTCAAGCTCAACAATCAATTTCCCATCATGGGTATCAGGCCAACTCCACCACAATAAGATGTTCGATTCTCCTTCCTTCTCTGCCCTAGATTTGGCTACCTGAACACTGGTCCCATGCCAAAAAAACATTACTCTACCATGCATGATTACAATCTAGAAAGCTAAAGCCAACACTATTTTGTCGTTATAACTTTAGATGGGTTTACAAACGACGTTGTGGCTTATAGATAATGCTTTTTCTTTCTCATGAGCAGACTTTACCGAATATACTTAGTGTTTTCGGTCTTCGTACTTTCTGAATTTCCTACCCGACAGTAGTGAGGGTCAATATCTACTTAGTACACGGGTGATATTTGCCTTCCTACATGTTCCTGACGATCTCTACCCTTTCTTCTGACGCTCAAGTCCCTACATCAAGACGAGACCACCGCCACAAAAACCGTTCCGACCCCCTTCATACCCCGCGTGGCCTTTGATTTCCAGCCGATAGACAGTCAACTTGAGATTAGACCTTATCTTTACAAATCTTTAGCGCTGCCTCATTCTATATTTTGTTCGTAACTCATTCAATAATTCTTCGATATTCTACAGCTCGACAAAGACATTCTGACAGGAGAGCAATCCACATATATTTCAACTGTCTGGAATCTTGGCACCGAGTTAATTTCACAGCTTCTCTGTACTACATTGCCTGTCCTTGTTGATCGACTGCATTCAAACATCCCGTCATTTTTCTATGCCCTTCCTCGCCCTGGGTTTGGACAGCTGCTTTAACTACTATCAACCTCTACCGAACGAGCCACGATTAGACCCTTGTTTTTGCCTCCTCCACACAATCTGATCAGCTTCCCATCGTGTAATCTCGAAGTACTGCCACACTCGCTACAAACTTTATATCGACTTTTACCATCCCGTGTTCGAATTGGCCTCGAACTCAAGGCTTCCTTCTGGACACTGTGTTATACTATATTTTATTCTAATTGAGCTTTCCGCATCAACTCTTCTTTCACCAACGAGTCACAATAAATCACCATTCTTTTCATCAACTACACTTACATTGCACACTTGCCTCGTACTTCAGTGGGTGATTGGCACGTGGAATCCCTTCTGACTCCCTGTCAATACTGACTTTGCATAGATCGGGGTTATCGTCAGAGCAGTCAACCATAAATCCATGGGAGACTCATCAGTTGTCGGGTCCAGATCAAACGATGGCGGATTCCCAGATACTTCA